AATTCTCGAAGATAGAGAAAGGGACTCAATGGCTTTTTCAATGTGCTCAACCCTGGCCTTTTCCTCACACTGCACCTTGGGAATCTTCTTCGACTTGGATAGAGTCTTCGTGGACGGAGAGGGCAGTGTCGTCACTGCTCTGACTGGAAGGTCCCCTAGGAAAGTCTCAGAATCACAAACGTCGGAGACCGAGTAGCTGACTTTGAGCCCCATGCGCCGTGCCGGTCGAGGCGGAGAATAATCAGGGTTCATGTCCAGTGCGTCCGATCCTTCAACATCAACCTGACTGCTCCCCAAAGCTATGCGCCTTGATATAATGCGGGTCTGATCCGACATGGGGTGACGCTTGATATTTGCAGAAGGAGACAAGTTACACATTGAAGAGAATGAATCAAGGATATCATCGACCTCCCGAGAAGCGTAGTGCATCGTCAGTGAGGGTTTCTGCTGAATATACATGCTCGGAGAGGAGAAAGGGTCGTCTTCCCGGTCCAACATTACTGAAGAAGAAGACCCAGAGCCGGCAACAAGTCGGGAAAGAGGATTCTGGGTCGATCTAGCGGCTTCCAACAAGTGCGCTTCTTTGGTTGTTGATAACTCGGACTTTTCTTTCGTGAGTGTTCCGTATTTCAAGATGCTCCCCCGTTTCATTCCAGCGTCAATTGGCCCCTTTTTCTTGGGACCGGTGCGTCGGGTACTGTTCTTCTTCTTCGCCGCAGCTTCTTCGGCTTTCGCGGCCTTTTCAGCCTGTTCCTTTTCCCAATTTTTGACGACTCCAGGAATACCTAATTTTGCGACAGTTTCAAATACCCAGACCTTTTCGAGCGAGAACGGATCAAATCGTTTTGTGACCCGAGACTTCGATGGTGTCGGAGGTGGCGATCCAGCCGCTCCCTCTGGGTCGTCCTCTTCCTCGCCTTCCTGCACACTAGTTTGGGATGGAAGTGGTGGGTTTGGTTCCTCGGCAAGGAGATCCAGCCCAACAATATCTGCGGGTAGCATATCTAGCTGGAGCTCTGGCACTGCATCAGTGCCAAAGCTTGACCGACATCGATACACCTTTTGCAGACCAGGTGGGCAATCGGGCACAAATGAAAAGCCAGGTGACACGCCTAGAACTGGTCTCTGGAGACGGAGTCTGTATGAGATAAGAGGCTCGGCTAGTAGTCTGATCAATTTCCTTGCCCCCGATCGATAATTCCATTCGAAGTGGTCTGCAGCAAATGTTCGGATTTCCAGGGGGTCGATATTATTATCCCAAGCCTGTGCGAGGCGATCACTCAGCAAGGTAATTTCTTCATCACTGGAAACTTTGGGCTGGGCATAGTACTCGAGGATTTGTCGGTCCGGAAAAGCGACTGGAATTCGAACTGCTGGGTGTTTCCTCGTAAAATAGCCACTCTCGTTCTCCTCAAGTTCATATTGGAGTCTTTCTCTCCACTCGTTCAATCCTGTATCCACGTCTGCTTGCGACGCAAGTTCCTGTAGAAGATCCTCGCCGAATCCAGCCTTGGCAATCTCTGCAGCAAGCTTACTGCCACATTTTGGAACACCAGATGGAAGATAGTCCCCTCCACTAAGCATAGCGAATAGAATCATTCCCGGTCGGTCAAGGGGTATGTTTGATGCATGCCCGTCCTGTCCCATTGCATAACATGTCACATGAGTCGCAGAAGAGCTGCCGCTTCCGCTCTCCTTTGAAAAATTCATAATGGTAAAAGACGATCCGAACATCAATGCATCGACATCGTTGCTCATGACAGCGTCTACAATGCCTGCCTGCTGTAATCGTGCACATTCAGCTTCTGCCTCGCCGGGTGCTTCATGCCACGGAAATCTGAATCGCTCGATGAGGTCCTTGGAGCGCTTGATGATCGGCGCACTGCCATAACTGCGGGTTGAGACTGCTTTGCCTCTCTTGAAAGCAGGTTTTTGCGGTCCATCATAGACGAAAAGCGGGTGGACTGGCAATGCAAGTAATTTTAATAATCGATAAAATAGTGTGCGTAACTCTGGGTTTCTTCCGCCCCGACCTGCTTGGACTTGAAAAAGCCATATCGAAATGTCGACTGCAATGCGGATCGGCCGTGCTGTCCGCTCCAGGTGCGTCACTGCCAACTTGGCTAAAGAGATACGCTCTCCTGGGCCAATTGCATTGATGAGCCTTCAGAGAGTTAGTATTTTGATCCAGAATTCTGGAGATATGCATCTCTGCTTGCCATGTGATGGGTACACACAGCGCCTTCACTCAACGCTCGTACAAATATATATGTTTCGAACCTTGCAAAAAAAAAAAAAGACAAGAAAAAGATTTCACTTACCCAGGAATACCCATGCCGACCGTAAGTAGGAAAATCAAATAACAGTTAAAGGGCCCATGTGTAGTTGAAGATGTACATGTATTGGTTTTTGCGGAGATGAGGTTGTCAAGTAAATAAAGACGGCCCGATGTAGATCCGTTGCCTAACAACGAGCTTCACCCCAACCCGGGCAAGCTTATAGATCTCACTTTTCTTTTTTGTTGAATTTAATCCGATGGCGTTGTAACTCGAACCTGTGCGTCGGTGAATTGAATCCTTGTCGCTACGAACCCCGCGGACTCCTGTTGCTCCCAGAAAGGAGAGCAACGCGCCCGAGCCTAATTAAGCATGTCGAGTGATACACCCTCAATGGGGGCCAGTAAACGCGCATCAGTAACTTCTGGTCTACGCAATAGCCAAACAGCACGACCTGTCTCCCCTCATACACCTCAGCCACGTTCGGGAAACCCCTCATTCGCCAGCAGTACATCACCGAGCTCCTCCTTTCGAAGCGAAGACGATGCGATCATATTTGAGATAGGTGCGCGATGGCTCCGCGCAGGCTTTGAAGGAAGCAGCACACCCATGTGCGTGGTTGGATTTGGACCCGAAGACTCGAGGAGAGCGGGGGACTATCGAGGATGGATCCAGGGAAGCATCGGTGCTGCACGGCTACCGCAACCCGTCGATGTGGAAGAGTGGACACGGGTATATGAATTGTGGCGGCCAGATGCTCGAGAGGTTGATCTGGGCCTGGTCGAGGATAAGATTGAGCGCGCGTTTCGGGAAACATACAATCAATTCCTGTTGACGGATGCAGGCACATCTCGCCTGGTTCTTGTCCTGCCATCTCTCATGCCACATCCGTTGCTGTCGTCATTGCTGTCGACCCTCTTCAGTCGCTGGCGCTTCCCGAGTGTTACCCTTCTGTCCAGTGCAACCATGTCGGCCACTGCTGCGGGATTGCGATCAGCTTTGGTGGTCGACATTGGCTGGGCCGAGACCACGGCAACAGCGATCTACGAATACCGAGAGATGACTACGAAGAGAACGACACGGTCTATGAAGCATTTGATGCAGGAAATGGGGCTGCTTCTTACTGCTTTAGGTTCTGACGGGAACCAGGATACGGAGAGTGCGGATAAGATCTCTGTTGGATTCGCGTATTGTGAAGAAGTTGTCAGTCGGTTTGCCTGGTGCAAACCGCAGACAGAAGATGATACAAGTTCAGATGAACCCGACCAGGAATTGTCGATTCCGTCGCCCGCAAACCCCGAGGAAGAATATATGGACGTGCCGTTTTCACGTCTCACCGAACCTGTCGAGAAGGTCCTATTCGCACCAGGGGTCCCAGAACATGAATTGGATGACGAAGAAAAATCATTGCCTTTGCTTGTCTACAACATCCTTCTCTCACTGTACCCCGATGCACGAGGAACCTGCATGTCCCGCATTGTTTTTGTGGGCGGCGGTTCTCGGATTCCTGGACTGCGGCAGCGGGTCCTTAAAGAAGTATCACTCTTGGTTGATCGTCATGGATGGAGTCCAATCCGAGGCAAAGCACTCGAGCGACAGCGACAGAGATTGGAGCAGCTGAGACTTTCAGCCCAAAAAGCTTCCCCAGAACCTGCAACCCCCAAGAACAATGAGGAAGCACCATCCACTGATGATACACCGGCCGACCCTTCGAAGGAAGTACCAGAGATTGATTTTGTGGAACAAAAGCTCCGCCGACAAAACAAAGATATCCCAGTTCCTATCCAAGGAGTCTTGCGCGAAGTTGAATCTCTAGGCCCATGGGCAGGTGCAAGCTTGACAACTAGTTTGAAGATCCGGGGGATGGTAGAGATTGAACGAGAGAAGTTCTTACAGCACGGACTCGCTGGAGCTACACGAGATATCGACCATCCTGTTCCTGATCGTCGATCGGGCTTGAAATCTGGTGATCGGTCGAGTTGGACGCTCGCAGGCTGGGCATGAAAACTATGTACATTTTTCAAAAAACAATAGATACCCCGTTGGATTCCCAATTCCCGAATATTTCTACTATTTTCTACTATTTTATTATTTCTTTAATATGGAGCATCCCAAAGAGGATAGCCGTCGGTTCGGCTATACCCCGGCTTTCGCGGGGAAGATACCGATGCGATGCCGATTGTCACTTTTCTGCTTGGGATTTTCGAATGCATGAGACTGACAGAACAAAAATGAATGATTTTAGTCCTCCACCATTAAGAGCACCTACAGCATGTGTTGCGTGCAATAAAAAGAAGGTACAAGTGAAATATCTTAGAACTGGAGACATACTGACCTCTTTAGGTCCGTTGTATCTTCGACGGAAATCCCGATGTATGTGTGAACTGTCAACGGCATCAGTGGCCCTGTTCGTAAGAGCATTGATTCCTGACAGTGAAGTAAAAATACTAACTGCCGCGCAGTCGACGGGAGCGCAAGAGAAAAAGAGCCCATAGTAATGATGGTGACTGCGTCAATGATACCGGAGCCCTTAGAAGGAGACGAGTGAATTGGGATGAGCTGAACAACTTTAGTCCTATCGGCTCAGGCAGATCTCCATGTACAAGCTCCGAGCATGACCAGGATCGGAACCAGTGCCGCGACACAAGTCAAGATAGAGCTGGTACTGGCGACATCATTACACCAGAGTCTAATCCATACTCGTCGGCGTCGACTCTAAGTTTCATGGCACGCTCCCGCTACTTTGACGATGCGGTGTCAATCAACGAAGAACAGGCTAGATCATATCCAGAAGGAGACGCAGATGGCCCAACTGAAGATGATATCCAGCTACTCAGGCTGCAAGGTGCATTCGACCTCCCACCACGAGCTATCCGAGAAGGATTGATTAACACCTTCATGGAACGATGTTCACCATGGATGCCGATAATCGAGCGGAGCTGGCTAGAAGAAAGCGGCTCTCAGAAGCCATCCATGTTACTTCTCCAGTCTGTCTTCGTCGCTGCGAGCCGAGTCACATCTGCACCGGGTGTGACTGCGTACGCATCTTTGCATCAGTTTTATCGTCGCGCGAAAGCTTTGTTCTGGTCTGGATATGAGAGAAATCCAGTGACTGTCGTCGCAGCAGTGTGCATTTTGCATTGGTATAACCCGGAAGGTCCTGAGCATGTGTCCACCAATACCAGTGGATTCTGGCGATATGTGGGAGTTGGGTTAGCTCATCAGATTGGATTGCACAAGGAGCCAACGAATAAAAGAGATGCTGCCCTGAGGCGCAGACTGTGGTGGACTCTATATGTAAGTCAGGAATGCGTTTTTTTCCTAGCACAGAAAAACACTGACACCAGACAGGCTAGAGATTGTTGTATTTCTGCAGGACAGGGCCGGCCACTAGCAGTGAATCTGGAGGACTGTGAGGTGGCACCGCCTTGTCCCGAGGATTTCCATGATTCAAGCTCAAATGCCACTCTATTCATCGCATATGTTGAGATCAGTTCTATTCTGGGCCATCTCACCGAGTATTGTCGTCGCAAGACCCTCACACGCGAGGCCCGACAGAACCTCGAGAATCGTTTATATCGATGGACACGCGATCTTCCACCCTCACTGCGTTTGTTTTGCAACCGGAGTACCTCAAATGATACAGCATCACCGGAAAGAACACTGGCTCGATACAACTTTGAAGCACGTCAGCTCCACATCCCATACTTTACCTGCCTGGCAATCATGTGTCGACCCAACCCCGGGGAGTCCGCGTCACCAGGCGTGCTTTTAGCATCGTCGTTTATCGCCGGGATATATGAAGACTTCCTTGCTCGAGATGAGATCCAATTCCTAAGCCCGGTATTCACATTCCACCTTTTGGCTGCCGGAATCGGGCTTCTCTCCTGCAATAACGTACCATCACACCGGGAGAAGGCAGCAGTTAGCTTGGAATCCATTTACCTGGCCCTCGAGGAACTTGCAAAACGCTGGTCATCTGCGAAAGGCAGTCTAAGAGCATTGAAGAGCATTGCTGAAAAGCAGCGGAGCACATCCACAATAGACGAATTGCCGTCGATGGCGCTCTCTAGAGAACATCATCCGTTTTTTGAGGGATTTGGCCCGGATCTCTCCTGGGCTTGGTCATTTTTCATGGACCTCGGACAAGCTGTGGGAAATGATGGGAGCACATATCACTTTATGGGAACCGGGATTCCAGAGCTAGGAAATTGGGCCGAGTCCCGGGTACCGGATGCTATATCTTCGGATGAATACAGGCCACTCACTACGATGCTGGACCGCAACAAAGGCCTCGCTATGGGAGATATGTCGCAAGATATTTCAGGTGATTTCTTTAATCAATACCAGGGAATGGGAGACTGGCTGTTCAAGGATTTGGAATGGAATGGCGAGATTGCCTAGGAATTTCTCGATTATACTATGTACCCATCTACCCTTGGATTCCATGAGAGCAGCTATAGAGAATATAACACTGGCGAATATGTCCGAATATTCTTCTAAAGATACCTTATAACTATAATAAAGGTCTAAAGAATCCTAGAAAAAGAGTAACTAGCTAGCGGCAATAGTTCAGTTCTTAAAGAATAGTACGGAACCTAAGGATAAGTGCTACTAAAAAGGCTATAAAGAAGTATGCCTATTAACTTAATCTCTAGAGTATATATATACACCGTTAGCGGGACCCGTCCAGATTGGCGGTCAGGAAAAGCCGGTGAGAGTGAGCGTTGAACCTCTCACCAGGGTACCATCCGAGGAAGCCCGGAACCCGGTCCCGGCGGGGGAGCAGGGGACAGAGACAACAACCAAGCCTACTAAGAATTTAGAGCCGAAGTCTCCAGCAGGAGAGCAGGAGACAGACGAATTGATCCGACCCATCGATCCCTTGGAGACACCCAACAGGGGATGTGATATAACGACCAGCGAACCTGTCAACCCACACGCCGTTGCAGAGACAGGGAACCCGGCTACCGGTCGGCCAGGCATTTCTAACAAGAGACCAGCACCCATCGACATTCGCATGACCCCGCCGGCGACTACCGGAAAAGGTTCTGAAACTCCGAAGGAACAGATAGATATCCCGGCTCCATCATAGGTCTCTCCGAGAGGAATAACCACTAAGATCAAGCGCTCTCGTTTAATCGCTTGTTTACCAGAGCAAGAATTGAAACACGTCCGTGCTCGGGCGTATTGTTTAGACTTACTCTTCGATTTACATTATAAATTGCGACTTGCGAATGGTCTAAAAGCGTCACGCGTGGAGGATTCCGAGAAGCAAGCGATCCAAGAGGAAGAGATCCGTCGCGAAGAGACCAAGAAAGGGTTCGGACTCGACCGAGCCGAGTCGACGTCCGAGGAACAGAAGCAACAGGAAACCGACTAACTGCTTGCCAATATGTCTACTCGATGGCTCCAGATTCATCGTGAATATATTGCAGGGGGCTCGGGGGCTTATAATGCCTATCAGAGAGAGGCCATTAAGATGGAGTTTGACGGCCGTCCTAGGAATATCCTGGATGATGGTATATATTTCGATGAGGAGTTGGGCGAGGATGAATAGTCCTGCCCATAAAAGGACTATTCCATCCTCCTTTCTCCTCTATCCTCCTTTCTCCTCTATCCTCCTTTCTCTTTATATCCTCGTTTGTTCTTCTTCATCCTCGTTTCCCCTTCATTCCTTCTCTCTCGCATGCGCGGGATGGGAGAGGCCACGAGAGCGTTTGGTACAGCCGGTCCCGAAAGTACGGCATGAACATCGGCCACCGACATCGATTTCACTAAGTACCGATGAGCGAGTCTCGGATCAATCGTAACCACGAAATCCATCTACGCATCCGGTTCGACTGCGGCAGCATCCAGTGGAGCAGGACGTGGGCATTGGCCCCGCTTGGTCCTTTCTCTCGTAGTTAGATGATCAACCAACGCTTGAGATATTCAATTGAACTCCATCAGATTCTTACGATTCTCTCATCATAACTTTGAATGTCGGAGGAGTATCTTCTGTAGTCACGGAGATCCTTAGGAAAACCGGATAGATCTGTAGGAGGAATATCGTGGGGTTGGGACAGATTTCGGTTCAGAACCCAATCTTTGATCAACTCTGGGCTCCCGAATAAAGTGGTCATTAGAGAGCTTAGAATTAGAGACTAAAAGGCGGAACGGGTTAGAATTCTCCAGAACCCAATTGGACCTAAGCTGGGTTTTAGATTATACTAGACAACCTAACCTCTAAGTACCCAGTTGGGTAACAAATATAAACGACCCCATCCCGTATCATTTCATAGACTCTCTTCTGTATATACAGGACCCACTTCTTAATGATTCTTGGCAAGCATTCAGGGATTGTATACAACAGGAGCTGTTAAATCTCCGATAGCTGGTCCGTCGATAGGGAGTTTTACGCGGATTAAACCATCCCACGTATCGTACCTTACTGAGAGAACGGTGAATTTCTCGGGATTTGGAAGGGAGGATTTTGGGCATTTCGAAGAAGAAGGTACGGAAGCCTGCTGAGCTTAAAGAGTTGAAACTAACCGAGACTGGGCTTGAATTTCTCCTCGAAGGTGATCGATGGTGGAAGCGAATTCGTCACGGAGCTCTGCTCGAAGTTGATGAATTTGTTGATCCATTTTGACGAAGATCAAGAGAAGGAAGCGAGGTCGAAAAAAAAAAAAAAAAATGGTAGGTAGATTAAAGAAAGAAAGAATAAAGAAGGGTCTAAACAGCCTCTCGTAAACAGCTTACTGAGTGTCCCGGAGCAGCCTAATCTCTAATCCACGCACTTAGCTACGTCACGTCACCGGGCTATCCATAACAAAAAAAGGGTGCTTTGAGCTAAGAGGGTACTCGCAATGAGACCTCTGTACAGCTGTACGAAAGCAAGGTGCCAACTCTCATCCACAGGCCTTTGTAGAGAGGATCTTTGATGTTATGTTACGTGCTAGTTCGATCAATGAAGAAAGAGTGCGTTCTAACTAGAATATCAAAGATAGAGAGAGAAGAAGAAGAAGAAGAAGAAGAAGAAGAAGAAGCAGCAGCAAGTGGTAAATCCCGGGGGATCTTATAGCAGAGCTATCCCACGAAAGCAAACAATCTCTTTCCTAATTAGGAAGCAAACAACAAACAATCTGGGAGCATGTGACAGGAGAAGTATGATGACACTTATCACCAGTTCTGGCCCTTCCGCTCGTAGTGACTATCCTTGATATCGGTTTGATGGGGCTTCTCATTTATCTCCCGCAGAGTCTCGTCCTTCTGCTCGATCATTTTCCTCGATCCTTCTCCTCTAAGTAACGTCAAAGAGAGCAGTCTGTAAGATCTCGGCAAGGTTGGTTGATCCGTCCTCCTCTAAAGAATGGCCAGCTTTTTGCTGCTTGATTTGGTCCCAGCGCCCAGAGTTCTCTTCGACCTCTTTAGCGAGGTCAGATGCATGAAATATCTCACAGAGACGAAAGTGAGTATCAAGAAATTCCCTAGCAGAGAGTGCCTTATCCTGGTACCCGTCCGCCTGACGGAGAGTGACCTTGGCACCGTTTTGAAAATGAGGATAAAGGATACTACTGAAGCGAGGGTATTCCTTTACACTATAGCAGTTCGTATACTCCTAAAGAACCACGATTTAGTTTGACTGTTTACGCGATCTCGAAAGACTTACCGTTGGTTGGAGCGCAATTTCAAACGCCTGGAACTCAACGTGCACTATAATGTGTAATGTGATAACGTTCTCCAAAGAATTCATCTTTGAGACTCGCATTCTTGCTTTCATCTGAGGGAAGGCGGTGTAGATCGATGCCCACTTAACAGCAATATCATGATCATCCTATCGAAATTAGCAATTTGTCACATATATAACTGGCAAGTTTGGTCTATCATGTTACCTGTTTGTCAAATCCTCCCAACGAGAACGGGATCATATGATGCACTTCAAGTTTCCCCCAGAACTCACCCTCGACTCCGCCGTTCTTTACCCACTCAGCTTCTGTTACTGCTCCACTTATGACGCAGCGGTGGTCATCGCGGTCTATACAGTCCTTCGCCCAAGCTGGAGAACGGATCTGGGGGTCGGGGAGCTTCGCTACTACCTTTTCAACGCTAGCTTGACGGCTGTGGTGTGGAGACGGCGTAACGCAAGGAGTCTTTTCGGTTGAACGGACTAGAGAGAAGATGTTAGCAAAAATATGATTGGCTTTTTGGCGCGGGCGTGTAATCACTGCACAAAATGGAACGATCTATGCACTTCCACATGTGGGACCATTGCAATTACCAATACAGGTCTTTTCTCCATGACTGTGGGTACCGAACTATAATCTCCAACAGAATTCCCAGCGGATTTCCACCCATATGGTTCGCTACTCTGCCAAATGTAATGGAGGAACGGGTCCAATTACTTGGCTCCTCAGACGATTCCCGAGGAAAACGTCTCTGATCTATTTGTACCGTAAGAACTATGAGATTTTTCATTATTAATATTTACCAGCTAACTAACAATTGACAAGTTAGTTGCTAACCTGTCACAGTGCGGAGACGCCTAAGGTAGTACGTACCAGTTAGTGTTATAGGAGAAATTCCTTGGTACGATGAAGTTATTTGAAGTACATTCCACGTACTCTTTTCCGTGTACTGAGATGAGCAACCGCATTGCTTTGTGACTCTCATCAACCGTTACGCCAACTGTGCTCCACTTCTTTCCATTGAAGACTACTTAAGCTTCAGGAGTGGAGTTGGAGATTAAACGTCTCCATAATTATGGTATCCCGTGGCCTTGATTGGTTCATCCCTAAATTCGGATGAATAGAGCCCGTGTCCGGGAAAAGTCCAAATACCATGGAAGGCATGGCGGGTATTGCTATTATTCAGCTATTATTCAGCTTAGTGGTGAAAGTTACTCTTCGCCATCCGTGAACTTTATTCTCTTGAAGCTTTGTCAACTTCCACGACACCAGTTCCATGACTTGTTCTCGTTTATAATCTCCCTCGGTCATCCCAAAATGAGTGAAGCCAGTTCATCTTTCAATCAATATTTTCTGTTCTCCCTGCTCGGTTCTGCCGCGCGGTAATTGACACCTCCATTTGAACTGGTCACGACTCTTGACGTGCTCCATATTGCAACCCAAGCACAGCTCAAATACGCAAACACTCTTCCACCACTGATATCCACCATCAATATCCTCCACAATGGCAAGCCAAATGCGCGCCTGGCAAGCCTCTACCCCCGGCCCCTTCCTCAAAACCCTCACCTTCACCTCAATCGCCTCCCTTTCCGAACCTCTCCAGCGCGGCCAAGTCCTAATCGCCGTCTCTCGTGCAGGCCTCAATCCAGCTGACTATAAAATGTGCGAAGTTGGGCTTCTTTCCCGAGCGATTACGTCCTTCCCCAAGACCCCAGGCATGGACCTTGCGGGCCGCATCGTCGATGTAGCAGAGGACGTCACAGACGTGAAAAAGGGAGACGTGGTAATCGCGCGAGCGACACCTACCAAACGCGGAGGATCTCTAGCGGAGCACATCGTCGTTGATCACGACGGCTACACTTCTCTCCCTGAGTCCTTCGATCTGGACCAAGCAGCCGGCGCACCTACAGCAGGGCTCACAGCATACCAGACTATAGCCCCCTACGTCAAGCCCGGGGACAAAGTCTTCCTCAATGGCGGCTCCGGCGGCGTAGGTCTCTTCGGCATCCAAGTCGCAAAAGCCCTCGGTTGCCACGTCACAGTAACCTGCTCAGCCGCCAAAGCAGAGCAATGCAAGTCCCTCGGCGCTGACGAAGTCATCGACTACAAGAGCTGCGACGTGCTCGCTGAGCTGCGTAAGGATGGCCCAGTATTCGCCGTGTGCGTCGACAACGTGGGTAATTCACCCCCCGACCTGTACGCCTCCTCGCACACCTTCCTGCAGAAGGACGCAAAGTTTGTCTTCGTTGGCGGTGCCATCAGCAAGAACAGCTTTGTCAGCCTGTCTAAGAGTTTGGCGCTGCCAGCGTTCCTAGGCGGCGGAAAGCGCAAGTTTATACTATACATGACGGATAACAGGAGGGCCGATCTGGAGCAGGTTCGGGATTGGCTGGTCGAGGGAAAGGTGAGAACGGTTATTGATTCAACGTTTGGGTTTGAGGAGGCGGACAAGGCGATTGAGAAGTTGAGAGAGGGGTTGGGCGGAGGCAAGATTATCGTGAGGGTTCCGGAGGGGTGAATATCGACAGGAACAAAATTGTAATGTCAGTCAATGACAATGGATTGGTCGCGAAACGGTGAGATTGGTAGTTAGACCATCGCTCTATTTGTAGTACTGTAACGTGGCACTCACTCTGCTTCGCGATTTTAGCCCCGCAACGTTCACCGTACATGACACGGTTTCTTCAAATTCGCAATGGCATCGGAGTTCTCAAGGCGCTGCCCGAGAACAAATGTCCCCTGTAGATCCTTGGGAACGACAGTCAATACTGATCATCGCAATCCGCCACCAAAGGGGTCCGCACTCAAAAGGGATGCCACGATAAGTGCGGCGTCTCCGAATGTAGGTCGCGTATGTGCATAAGGAGTGAAATAAAGACAACCTCACGTGGATGTTCCCATGCATTAGCTGGGCTTGCCGAGTGAGAGGATACTTTAAATACAAAACCTATGGCTATGAGTATCAAACAAAGACTTGGCACATGACTACCGAGTCATGAAATCTCACCGCGGCTTCATCTCCATGCCCCCCGTGAACTTGGGTCTGCACTTCGACGGGATCGGCTCGCTGCCTCGTCTAAAACTGCGTCCGCAGGTTGCGCGGAAAATGCTGCTCGAGGCGCATAAATGGACTGGGCCTGGAGCATTGCAGGATGTAATTGTGGATGTCGTTGCGGAGCCGGAGGAGATGCTGAATGTGGCTTTGGAATTGGGGGCGAACTGGGAGCCTAAAGCGAAGATGGGGTAATTTTTGATCTGTACAAGAATTTCTGATCGAAAGGATATCTGCTCATGCTGTGAAGGGTGTACGCTTTGCTTCGTCAGGAGCTTTGGGGTGATGCTATCAAGAAGTTTCAGCGTATTAGTTATGTTCATAGTTGGGTGACTTCGGCGCCTGCTAAGGTCAAGATTTGATAGAGACAATGATATCAAGACATGTAGACATTTAGCTATATCGACAAGAGATCCTTTGAATTTGATATCCTCTCTTTCTATAGCTTGGCCTTATTCTCCCTGCTCCAAACCTGCACCTCAGGCAGCTCTCGATAGTTAGGCGGAAAGAACTGCGGTCCCAGTATCTTCTTCTGCACTTTTCCCGTACCCGACTTGGGCAACTCACCTTGGACCACACGAAGGATAGTCGGCATCTTATACCCAGCCATTCTACTCCGCAGATCCTCCCGCAGCTCAGCGATTGTGAGGCTCTTACGTGTTGTTTTTTGATCTTGTTTGAGGCTGACAGTAGCAGCAACTCGCTGACCAAACTCCTCATCTTCAACACCTACAACCATGACCTCCGAAGCATAGTCCAGACCCAGGATCTCGCGCTCGATATCCAATGCGGAGATCTTGTAGCCGCCTGACTTGATGATATCGATCGAGGCACGGCCCAGGATAAAATAATATTTTCCTTCGCGGCGAGCAATATCTCCCGTTTTGAAGTACCCCTCGGCGTCATGTGCATCCGCCGTTGCTTTCTCGTCGGAGAGATATCTGTTGATGTGTGAGAATAGAACGGCATCACCTCCAAAAGCACAATTGACTTACTTGGAAAACATATAAGGACACTTCACTAATATCTGGCCTTCATCGGTAAGCTTGAGTGAGACCGCCTCAGCAACACGGCCAACGCTGTTTTGCGGTGTTCCATCGGAATCAAGCTCAGTTTTGATGACTGCGCCAAACTCTGTTGCACCATATCGAATGAGAATTGGTTTGTTCCTAATTTGATGCCAGAACTCTTGTACGGGCCCTGGAAGTGCCGAAGTACCACACAGCATCGCTCTAATTTGACGCGCACCAGCGATATACTGGTCACGTATCTCAGGAGCTTGGTGTGCAATGTTCTCTTCGTAGTACCGCATCATACGCATGTATATGGTGGGAACTCCAGAGAAAAATGTAAGACCTCCCTGTCGCCAGCGCTCCCATGTCCACGCTGTGTCGAAACTGCCACTGCGGAACTCGATACATGCACCGGCCGCGAGGAAGGGGAGGAATGTCAACCCCACGCCAGAGGCATGATGTACTGGAAGAACATGGAGTACTATGTCCTTGTCTGTGATTTGGTAAAATTCTGCATCTGCCTCACCATTACCGGAGATATAACTGCGACGCTGCACAGCGCCCTTGGGGGGCCCTGTTGTACCAGAAGTAAAGATTACCAGCGCTGCGGCGTTCATATCTAGAACTGGGCCAGAGGAGATGGTCACTTCATCTGACGGCAGAAGCGTGGGGCGGAAATAGGATGCGACTGGGGATATGCAGGGGATATGCACGCCTTTGATTTCTCGCATATAGCGAACCACGGACTGGGCTGTCTTTTCGCTGGCAGTGCTGGCTATCAGAGCCACACATTGTGCTTTCAATAAGAAGTAGGAGGCTTCTTCTGACGGCAATGCGGCAGCTACTAGCTATTAGCTATGCATCCTCTTCTCAGAGATTGAAGCTTACCCATAGGCACGACTGCTGCACCGATTGCGAGGATTGCGATGAAGCCAACGGCGTACTCATACCCTCCCGGTGCAAGCAAACCAATGTATACTTCCTTGTCCACAATCAAATCACGTCGAGCTTCATCACCGAGTGATCTTTGCAAAACCTCGCGAAAGGCCAACACATCCGACACAAGATGATGGTATGTCTTTTCCACGCCGGCAACCAAGTCCCGAACCACTATGGGCGAAGGCCTACGTTGTGCATAACGCAATAGTCTGTGGAAAAAGGGAAGATTTGGAAACACGTTGTCTCCTACATGTGGAGGTACGAATAGAGTGCGATCTCCCATGTTATTTGAGCTTGAAGATTGCTGCCTTCACTGCTGCGCCGAGATAGTTGTGTCTTCCAAAGTTATCCCAGCCTTTGCATTCGAGTATACCCATTGCGACAACATATCCTCTGAACTTCCCAGCCAATAATTTATCGCTATACTCTGTCTGTTCGGCTACTTCATACTTCCCCGCGGTTTGTATTATCCTGCGGGGTAGAAGTGCCGGCATTCGGGACTCGGCGAATTTGAGAATATGATGGATTCAGCCAAGACAATTCGGTACGGGTCTTTGATCTATGAATAAATTCAAGGGCTACAGGACTGCAATTGACAGAATTTCCAAAAGTCGAAGATTCAAAATGCCCGATTTCACGGATAACCTTCGCCCAAGCCAACCAGATGGGCCAACAACACTAGCCCGCGAGCGTCAACAATCCAACATCACCACTGAAGAGCTAGGACAGCATTTATTGGCTTCAGATGGATTTCTGGAAAGACAAGCTCGGATCCTGCCCATCATACAGCAAGAGCCACTTTTCTCCAAAGATCAGCAACAAAACCTCTCCAGACCAGAAAGGTTCAAGCTAGGACTTGCGCGCGCAAAACTCTTACGCCGAATGAGAGATACGCACAAATGGAGCTACCTCGAATACCAAATGGCCGAGTACCTGGTCGACGACGTGTCGCCGTACTTCCTGCACATGGAGATGTTCATCACGACTATCCGCGAACAGGCCAATGAGGAACAGCAAGCGTACTGGCTGCCTCTGACCGAGTCTTGGAAGATTATTGGTGCATATGCACAGACAGAACTGGGACACGGGAGCAATGTCCGTGGCCTGGAGCTTGAGGCGCGTTGGGATAGCGGGACCAAGGAGTTCGTGTTGCATAGCCCGACTCTTACGGCGAGCAAATGGTGGAATGGTAGTTTGGGCCGTATGGCCAACCACGCTATTGTGGTTGCACAATTGCTTCTCCCGGATCCTAGCTCACCGGATAAATACGTTTCGCATGGTCCTCATCCGTTCATTGTTCAGGTGCGAGATATGAAGACTCATCAACCGTTGAATGGGATTGTTGTTGGAGATATTGGTCCCAAATATGGCTATATCACCATGGACAATGCGTATATGCTGTTTGATCAGTTCAGGTTTGTTCCTCATTCATACCCTACAAGTTTATTTTCTAATGATATGCTAGAATCCCACACTCGGCTATGCTATCACGATACTCCAACGTCGACCCCAACACAGGGATTTATACTAAGCCAGTACAGCCAGCTCTGATCTACGGATCGCTGACCTATGTGCGGGCGAATATGGTCCACCGCGCCCGACTCGTCCTCGCGCGGGCAGTCACTGTCGCAGTGCGGTACAGCAGCGTACGTCGTCAGTTCCAAGACCGAGACGGTGACAAGAAGGGTCCGGAGATGTCTGTTTTGGATTATCCGACTGTCCAAATTCGGATCCTGCCTCTCCTTGCCACGACATTTGCACTTCACTACACAGGACTTGCCATGCAGGCAGTCTACCGAAACGCACGACAGGATATCGAGAAAGGAAATTTCAATTCTTTGGCTCATATGCACAGCATGTCTTCCGGATTGAAGAGTCTGTGCACAATCCTCGCTGCGGATGGCATTGAGACATGTCGACGTGCCATGGGTGGTCATGGGTTTGGTGGTGGGAGTGGCTTAATCCAGGTCAACAATGATTACCTCTCTAAGCCCACTGTTGAGGGTGATAATTGGATGATTACGCAGCAGGTTGCGGCGTATCTTATCAAGAAGATGACTGCTGCCGTTAAGTCGCCTGATACTGCCGGCGTTGATGAGACTGAAGCTCTATTCAAAGAGTTTATACGTAACAAGCGCCGTCCAGGATCAGAGAAGCAGACATACAATGTCCTGAATAGTGATTTGGACATTGTTAAGAGCTTTGAACTGAGAGCTACTGCCATGGTAAGTTCTATAAAACTCATACCAACGAACAACCACAAATTAATACTCCACAGGCATACGATGCATACGAACAAAGAGTCATCAAAAAGCAAAACTGGAACAGTCTTCTCATCCAGCTTCACAAACTAAGTCGAGGTAAGTCAAATCTTGAAATAAGATATCATTATACACTGTCCTAAGTCAAAACACCAGCACAATCCGAATCAATCATCGTCGCGACCTTCTTCGCCGCCCTCTCCAAAGACAAAACCCTCTCAACGCCCATCAAAACCGTCCTATGGGACTGCTATCGCCTATTCGCATTATACAGCATGGAGAACGAAAGTTTCGAATGTAAGCCAGCATCAACAAACCCACCATACTTACCACAAACTAACGAACAAACCAGTCTTCCGCTCCAACGCCGTCTCCCAAGCAGACCTAAATAGTCTAGCCAGTCGAGTCCAAGACCTAATGGCTCGTATCAGACCACATGCCGTGAAACTGGTTGATTCATGGATGATTCCGGATTACTTATTGGATAGGTGAGTGACTACCAAGTCGGTCGAGATGATTTGATACGGGGATACGCGTAACTAACTTGATTATAGTGCGCTGGGCCGATATGATGGTCGTGTTTATGAAGATCTATTTAACCGGGCGCATCGGTTGAATCCGCTGAACCGGATTACTTTTAACCCGAATTATTGGGAGGATGAGATTGTTAAGGGGAGTGGGGATAATGGGGGAAGTATTTTGTCGAAGTTGTAGATTTGTATTTTTTTTTTGCTGCGCAGGTCGTGTTTGAGACCATTGAGCGAGCTTGCATGTATAGCTAAATCCAATGTTCTACCATATCTGTTTTTAGTATTGTGCTATATGGGGTATTGAATTGGCCAGCTGGCTCATTCGTACTGAGGAAGCGAATTTCAAAATAAGCGCTGCGCGTAACAGTCGACGCAGAGATGTGTATTATTTCAATGCAATTAAATAGCGCACTTTACTGTAGAATTATAAAACTTAGATAGTGCCAAACTGGTAGGTGGCCCAGTTAACGACTGGCCCATCATCAGGACCAAAGACCTGGTAGGGGACACGACCCCACTCAGGGTTATTGATACCGTCGATCCAGTCCTCGGTCTCGATAACGAAGCATCCGTACTTGTTAACGTGGGTGGCACCGGCGTCACCGCCATCAGCCTTGTTGCGCTTTGCCTGCGACTTCTTGGTGGCGATGGAGCCGTTCTGTCCACTGCAGGTGTAGATCTGCACCGCGGCCTGGTTGGTCGCGACGTCAAGGCTGATACCGGTAGAGCTCGACGAGGCGCTCAGGGCCGTGACCATTGAGTTTGATGCGTATGTTGAGGGTCGGTCGATGAGGAAGCATGTGTCGTAGCCTTGGCAGCCGGCGCCACAGAGGTTGGTGGTCTTCTCGATGTCCTTGCCAATGAGTTTGGGGCTAGTGAAGTCCAGAGATCCTTGGTAGGCGCTTTCAACGTCGTGGATGGTGCCGTTCGGGATTAAGATGCTGTCTCCACCGATGAAGCGTTGCGAGAGGGGAAGCTGCAAGGTGGTGTCCTTGAGCACGTTGGATTCTTTGAACGCGTTCAGGTTCCAGTAGATGTGGTTGGACAGCATGATAGGGGTCTTCTCTGTAAGAGCGAGAGCCACTAGCTTTGCGGTCAACTGAGGAAGTCCCTTCGGGTTGGCTTGGGTCTTCTCGGTAGAAACGCTGAAAGTAGCATGGGTGATGACGTCTCCTGGGAACTTCTCAAACCCTTGATCGAGTAAGGTGAAGGTAATGGAGGACTCGCTGTGCGAAGTGACGGTCCAGTTGCGCATATCATAGCCAGTGAAGCCACCGTGGAGGGTATCCACGCCGTCGTTTTCATTTTCAGGAACGTGATAATCGTTATCGTCAACGGTGAAGGTACCGTTCTTGATACGGTTGGCATAGCGACCGACAACCGCACCGAAGAAGGTACGATTGGTCTGACTATCATGCAGATATTCCTTGGGCTCATCGTATCCAACGACGACATCTTGGACGTTGCCATCGCGATCTGGAACTAGCAAGGAGGTGAGACGCGCGCCATACGGAATCAGCTTGGCAGTGATATTCTCCGCCTTGATCGTATAGCTCTTGAAGTGATCGGCGTTTGAGCCAGCAGCCGACGAGACGGATGCAGCTTGTGAGGGAGATGGCGATGGGGCAGCATTGGCCAGGGCAGGCAGCCCATACAGGGCGGCTGTCACATATGACTTAAGATGCATTTTGATTCCCAGAAGAGTTGTAACTGAGAGAAACAAGATACAGAAGAAGAGGAGAAAACGAAGGGTGATCCGGGTTGGGCAAACTAAACTGAGCCAACGGAGGGGCGCAGGCATTTTATAAGAAGCTTCGGATGGCAATAAACATTCCCCAATTTGCGCTAAACTACCTCCGCATGGCCTTTGACGCTAGGGGGCGGGGCAATGGAAACTGGGGTAGTGGTGAGACCAGGATTTATCCGAATGCAGTGATTTAGATGCAGGTCAACCATTGGACTGCTTGACAAAGTGGACGCTGGATGATGAGGGGGGAAGATCCGAGCCCCTATTCGGCTATTCGGGGAATGTAACTTGAGAGGCGCGGGTCCAGTCAAGCTCCAAGAGGCGCTCTGCCACTGACGGCACGGAACAAATATGAGACCTCGACCGGAGCCCATGCGACTGGCAAAACTCCGGTGGAGTTGCTGTTTTGCCCGGAAATACCGCCCATTTGTCAGCCAGGCCGGTCTTTCCAATTTGGGTTAGTTCGGGAATAGGTCGCCTTGGAAGGTTTTCAAGACCTCTATAAACATCTACTGGACTCAAGAGAAAGAAAACCAAGCTACTTAATAAGGCCCAGAAATCGCTTCATCCGATCATAGACATAGAAACTTGTCGCCGCCATGGGAGCCATTTTCACATAGCCAATGGTCAGCCCAACATAGAAACCTCTCACTCCTCTCTCCAGCAAGATACGACGGGCTGTCTGGAAAATGCCTGATTCGGCATGATCCACATTTCCGACTTGTATTCGTCGTCGAATGACATCAATTGGATAAGAAATTGTTTGAGCAACAATACCAGCAACTGCTCCACAAGAAAGCTGCGCAATTGCGGTTAGTCGAGTAGAAGATGGCGTTTCTAGAGTGTAGGGTACAAGGGCAGGCGTGCGAAGCCAGTCTCGGAGTAAATCGTGGGTGAGGAATGACGTGCCAGCATACGGAAGTATGCCTAGCATAGTCGGGGCGATTCCTCGATAGAGATTTGACAAGTTCCCACTGCCTCTTTCAAAGTATATTTTCCGAGAGATACCGAGCCAGGACGAGGGATTCTTTTGCACCGTTTCAAAGGCAAGTCGTGTACGAATCAACTCAAGGGGATATGTGACCATAGTAGAGGTTGCACCGGCCATACTTCCGCACAAAAAACGACGCCACGGTGCTTCTTTGTCGGGAGATGGGATAATTTTTGCTCGGAATTGTTCGTATGTGAGAAAGTTGATGCCGGCATATGGGAAGACACGGACTAAGCTTGCCGAGTGGCCTTTGAAAAGCGCAGGCATACCATACGACATTCGAATGTCTCTGGCGGCTTTAATTAAACCATTCCAGTGGGCCGTATACTGCACAAACTGGGAGTGGGAGGTCTGGAAGAGGATCCTGATCCTCTCCAATGGGGCGACAATAGTTTTGGCCTACATTACCCTGGCATCAGCAATCTAATCCTGGTATCTCAGGTGGTAAGCCTCACAGCGCAGCCTGCGACACCTCCGGCTAATCCATTTCGTAGAATGAAGTCCAAACTTCGGCTATCTTCATTTGATTTGGATGCGCGATACACATGGTGATTGTTTGCTATCTTCGTCAGGTCTTTCGCGATTGGAGCACTGATGCCCGTGTCCCGCATTTCTCCCGCAAGGATCAGCAGGGGCTCCGAATTAAGTGAACTGAAGAATCAAATCAAAGTCAGGTTCGGGTTCAGGTTGGAAGAAAAGGATGAATAATTACACTGAAGAAGTACCTCGGCAGTCATCCAACACATTCCCGGGTACACAAGGGAGATAAGGGGAGATTGAAGGAAGTGTGAGAGAGAAAGGGAAGTCTTATCAAAGGATCAAATAGCACGCCAACTCACAGATACCATCTGAGAAAATTGTTCGAAGACGACTCGATTGACCCCTGCCGCAAACGTCGAAGCGAAACTTTATCTCCTAACTCCGGCGGTTTTTCAAGTCGTCCAATCACAAGTGAATGAGGCTAGACTTTACCCTGTAGAACAGGGACATACTTATTTGTAGGATATACTCCTTATTTGCAAGTTCTGTAGGAGCTATTAAATGACCATAACAACCAGACACATTAATTAGGGACTTCAAATTTGCCGTTTTGGTCGAAACGAATATTCATATTCTCGTGAAACTTGACAAATTGATCTCTAATTACTTCTCCAAACCTCAATAAACACCCTTTTGGTTGTTTCGGTGACGCCAAATCTCAACCTCACCACCACCACGAATCACCCCAACTCGCATCGAGGAAAGCAGGTTGTGGGCGGCATTGGAGTGAGTATAGACACCACCGTTGAACATGGCAGTGGCATCCTTCCCAATGGCCGATGAAATGAGGGTTTTGCCACCAGGGTGCTCGGAGATAAATTTGCTCACATCGTGAACAACACCAGCAATAGCAACTAGAGCTTTGCCACTCTGAGACTCTGCAATGAAATCGTCCCAGTCGACAACAGGCAGTTGGTCCAGAGGAACACCCCAATCAAGCTTAGCGCGCTTCTGGTCGAGCTTCTTCTGTAGTTGTTGCACACGGCCCTTTTCGATTTCGTTGGCTCGGAACTGCTTGAGGTTGGAAGCCAGACCGAGCTGTTTCCACACCCAGATTGACCACTTTGTGGGATCGTACTGCCACCATTGGATGGCGTTGCGGTAGTCGGAGGGAAACTAGTCATGGGTTAGTGGGTGTGAAATGAATGCAAGGGAAGAACCCTCTTACCTCGTGGTGGAAGTTGTGGTAGCCTTCACCGAGAGTGATGAACGCAGTAATGACGTGGTCGCGAGGTGAGTTCCTATCATCGAATGGCTAATATGCGTCAGGGTTATGAACGGGAATACGACAATAGGATATGGACAATGACTGACCTGTTCACCCAACCAATGGGCGAGAGAATTGACACAGAAGGTGGCTTGCTGGACAAATGAAAACCGGAGAATTCCAGCATATACAAGACCACCCTTCCAATCACCCCATCCGAGACCAGCAACGAGCATAGGGAATAACATGCCGAAAACCAAAATGACCGATCCATAGTGCTTGTGCTGCCAGACGACAACTGGGTCCTCATTCAAGTCGGAGATATCAGTTCTCCCACGGTTTTTCGGGTTCTGATTCAAAACCATCCACATGAAATGGGAATACCAGAGACCCTTCATGACGCTGTATGGGTCCTTGACTGTATCGGTCCATCGGTGGTGTGCCCTGTGTTTACTGCTCCACCAGCGGATCGAGCCTTGGACGGCACCACCACCGACACATGCGAGGAATATCCTAATTGGAAGGCGACTGGAGATAGTGGATGTCAGTCAGTGCTGAATTCGAAGCCAGGGAGAGAGGCAGTGGCAGACGTACGCTTCGTATGATCTGTGTGCCCATAGACGATGGTAGCCAGCAGTGATTCCCAATCCGGTCCAGAAGTAGTAGAGGATTGCCCATGCAGCAGTGATTGCCCTCAGCTTTGTATAGAATGCAGCGACAAAGCCACCGACGGGTACGATCAGGATGAGGGTTGTGTTGAGCCAGTTGACATGCTGGTACCAGTTACCGAGCGTGACGGGCTTCTCGCTGATATGCTGCTTTCCACCACTTGGCTCGGTTTTCGCCATTGTGGTAGTGTATCTGAGATCGTAGCTCTCCAAGTGTCTATGGAATTGTGGGGGTAGAATCGATGCGAGGTGAAAATGATTTTAAATTGTCTGAACCCGAACACATTATTTAACATAAACAACTGAGCATATATCTAATGCCAACAATTCAGGTCGTCAGTTGATGTTCCTCCCAGCAAGAAAGTGTTGAACCGTTGGGAACGTCAGGCCATCTCACAGATGCCCAGGGCGGGATTGTCTCTCAACACCATCCCACCAGCCCCAAGTACATAATCTCATTCCATGTCCTATTATTGGTTAAAATGTTCTATATTTCCATCGATAATCGATAATCGACGGTTGAATCATCACTGGAAATTGAGATGCTTGTCGCAAGTTGGCCACTGATTCGGGGCTAATCCACTCATCTGCCAGGGGCTTTGCCCCGGGGGCCAAAGCCTGGAATCCAACGTCAAGGCATAATTTTCACTCAACAGTTTCCACATGAGGCTTTGATGTCGAATAGGTGGAGTCTGGTTTGGTAGATTCTGCTATCGTTGTCTGGAGCATAAGGTAAGTAGCCGAGGTGATGTAGCCTATATAATCTATGAGCCTAACTATCGCACTGCAAGAGTTACCGTAACTAATCTAGTCACTTAAAAAAAAGGGTGAATGGAATACACGTATTTCCAGACTATTTTTTAATTCGCTCGGGCTAGTTCCTAAGAATCTCCCTTCGGTCTTACCTTGCTATTAGGTATCAGGATTCTATGTAACAAACTGCTCTACATGTATTTTTCTAAGAGATGGAGAAAATCCCAGATCCAGTGCCACTACTTTTCTTTCATTTTCAATTTAATAAGTGACTATCTCATGAAGCCCCAATTCCATTCCTTCGCCGTATTTCACCATTGCTGCAAGACATTATTCATAAAATAGTTCCCAGCTATGGATCCAAAGGGAAGCCTTGGTGTGAAGACAGGAGAGATCTGTTACAGACCGGAAAAGACTCATTCAGCAGTGCTGTGACATGTCAGTCACTTGACAGGCCACTGCACTGCCGAATGAAAAAGGTCCGGCGCTGTAAAGGATCTCTCCTGTCTTCGCATCGAGGCTTCCCTTGGGGTCCATAGCAAGGAAGTACCGTTGAAGGGAGTTCGATGAATCACTCGGGCCAAGAGAGGCCGAGGGCAGCCATGACTCTTTCGCAATCATCGAGGTTCTTGTTGGAGTCATAGTAGACAGCACCGACGATGGCTTCCATAGCGCCAGCCATAACATTTATGCCAGCCATAACGCCCCACTGGCCCGGATTCTTGACGAGGAAGTGATCAAGACCAATGGCAATGGCACGGTCCCTCAAGTTGTTGTTGGAGGCCACCTTGGTGATGACATTTTGGATCGCTCCTGTTGATGGCAATAATGGTTAGCACACGTCCAAAATAGTAATCGCCGAGTGGGTTCACTACCTGGGGACTTGTTTCTGTCTCGGCCCTGGTCGACAAGAATTTGCCTCAGAGTTATGTTGCCAGCCAAGGCGAGGACCTTATCGGCGCCGGCATTGAATAGAGCATAGCCTTGCAGAGCCTCACGAATCAGAGCTCGGTTGTTGATATGATAGCTTCCCTGGAGAATCACATTCTCAAAGGCCTCGATTTTCTCGTCCGAGGGGAGGCCCGTAAAGATAGCCATGTCGAAGATTGAAAATCGGTCAGTGTGTTAGTAATAATGATAAGGTGGGTGATTCTGTCAGAAACAGTGGAGTGAATGAGAAGAAAGAGAAAATTGAGGAGGGAAGGAGAGGACACTTATGAAAAATGAAAAGAGGGGGATTGAGACGCGAGTCAGGTTGCCCCAGTAAGGCAAAATGATTGGGAATGGTATTGCGCTTGAAATTGTATTCAGCCTCACACTATTGTTAAACCAAGTCAGGGTGTACACGATTGTTATTTGCCCATAACCTGCAGAGGCATGTGTACCCAAGTCTCTCGTGGCAGATCATTAGTTGAAAAAGTGCCATGGATATTTCGGTTTCCCATAAGCATGCATGCTTTGATGATCTCAGCCTGAGCAACTAGCCCATCTTGAAGGAAAGGTAAGTTCCAAGGTTCTCGATATTCTTAGAGACCTTTTGTGTCTCTGGGCTGCATGAGAGGTAGGCCACATCATACCGGTGGAGGAATTCAATTGGGGTCGGAATTAACGGCTATTGAAGAATACCATGCAAGGAAGCGTATACCAGACAGATGATAAAGTGCAAGATCTCTGGATTCAGGTCATGGAGGGAATTATAATCGTGCAAGCGCCCCAACACCACACTCCGTGTGTGTTGATGCGCCCCTGCCTGATCCCAAATTATTATATAATCCTAAATCTAGGAATTAGGCATCTTTTATGAGTTGCCCATATGAATGACTATACAAATCTTTCTCGGCCCTCGAACTGGATAAAATAAAAGAAAGACTACAAGCATATAATAAAAACCTAGCTTAATTGATTTAATAGTATTAGTTAGCACGGTGAGCGGGGCCTCCTCTTGTCGACGCACTTTCTTCTCTCTCCTCAAGCTGACATCGTAGCTCGGCGATTGTTTCTTCCATTGGTTGTTGAAATCAGTATTCAGCAAATAATCGAATGATCCAAATCCAAGTCAATATAGTAGGGGGTCACATCTTGTTTTTCCCAGCAAGGAAAACTGGATCTGCTCAACTTGAATTGATTCTTCTGATGAGAAACGCCTCGTTCGACAACATGTCTTTCTACCTGGTGATTGGCTAGCTGCAGTGAATGTGGAACTGATACTACCACAGTTAGACCATGTTTATGAGAGCATTTCCCTGAGAAGTCATGGATTGCCTATGAGTAAGAAAGTTGAACTCAGATCTGGAGGTCGGGGGACAGGAAGTGGCGTTCAGTCTTCGGACTTCTCCATCCCCTCGTAAACATCTCACGTATGCATAAAGTGGGATAGCATCTTAATAGGAATGGTCAACACTAAGAACATATATCGTCGACTCTAAATACAAGACTTAGCGCGAGGAAGTCCATCACCATACAACGGATATTACATCTGAATTGGAACGAGACCAGGCTACCCCAAGAACATAGACGCCGAGTACTCAGCCGGGAGGTCTCCCCTAGGAGCAACAATGCCATCATTTAAGCAGTTCTCAACGCCCTAACCCTTTCAATCCCCTGATAAGCAGCGCACACCCACCGTTGGCAGCGGTTGCGAAAGGGAAGCCGGCTGACAAAAGAGTTCCCGTCGAGGGTGAACGCAACGGACCCGCTCCATGCGTGCGTGACGGTCATCTTAACACCCATAAAGTCGAAGAGCAGTGGCGTGGCTCCAAGGGGGGCATGTGGGGCGAGGTCCTTTTCGTTGTCGTCAAGACGTTGTATTTAGCCATCTTGTCGAATAGGCCTGTCATAATTGTGTATGGCCACACGGAAGCAGGAGGTATACCGATTGCTCCAACGACGTGATCGGCCAGATGGTGAGCCTGGAGGTCTTCACTTGACCTGTACGCCGTGTAGCGGTCCGCAAACTATGCATTATGCTGCCGAATATCATCCGCGGCCAAATATCATCCGGGGCCCGGACGGAGCGGATGACCCATGAATTACCTTCCCTTTTATTTGTCGCAGGGGCTTGTAAGTATGTCCGCTATAATATAGGAGAAGATCATACCTCCGTCTTCTTGGGTCCAATCAATCAAGTCTTCTTGAATGTGTCGTTATATGACGATTTCTCTGTTCTTTTTTCGCCATTCTTTTCGGTCATTGTCATGATGCTTCGTTTCCTCTGACGTATGCACATGATTCAATTTATTTCGGACGCTAAGATGCCACAGACTAGCACAGGTTATCTCAGTTTCGTAAAGGGTTGGTAATTGGCTAAATCGGGTTGGCAGAAGACTACTCTACACATACGGAATACATCAATCGAATTAAATTCGTCCTGGGCGCCACCGCCGAAGAGTAGTAGCTTTGAACGGTGCGTAGGGGATCCCACAATACCGATTGGCTGGCACTTCTATCCTTTTTCTTTAGATCGCGACGAGGATGCCCAGCGAGTAATATATTGATCGTCTCGGCAGGCGTTCAAGCTATCATTCAAATGTCTGAATTATCAAATGATGCAGGTCTGATATACAGAGAATAATAAGCAATCTATCCCGTAGATGCAGCTAGAAGAGAAATCACTTTTGGGCCTTGGTGCTAGTAGAAAAACTCTGCATACTTCTGGGTAATCAGAGGTTACAGTCCTAAGTCGACCCCTAACATCCTAAATAGGAAAGTGCCAAACACAACTAGGGACATAATACAAAGTGCCGAGGTACGGTGGGGGTTTTATTGTTATCAAATCAAACGTAAGAGTTACTTTGAGCACAACTTCAGGGCTCCATTGAATGATTTACGTTTTGCGCTTGGATTTCATGTGGACCCTCATCCAAGTATGTGTTATGTCCCACATAGAACGTTTCAGAAACTTCAATATTTCCGCTTAGTCTTTTCTTCCGGATGAAATAATTCCCGTCTGAGAGACGCATTTTCCAAGTCACCCTCAAGGGGCAGCTAGTCATGGTAGTCGCAGCTTCGAGATACTATGATGTCGCTGACTCAGCGGATATTCGGTCAGAACCTTAAACAGCTCCGCTCCGCTTATCTTATTCTTCACCCGAGAAGGGATTAGTTAACCAACAACTACTCCGTATAACTATGACCTTGCAAGGTTGCTCTCTTATTATCAACATTCAAGCTCTACATAAAGACATCTTTGAACTCACACCCAACTTTTCAGTTGCACGCACGATATTGCCATGTTGCAGCACAGGGATCGATCTGAGGCATTTAAACGTTCTATTTTCTTTAAAAGACAAATTATCTCACTCGGTTTAACTAATGAGACACTCGAAGATCGGCCAAGTGTGGGGATCGTCAATGACCTAGGGGCGGAGTGAGTGCAGCTGAAGACCCGCTCGGAGACGGAACCGGGCATATCCGTTCGGTATCCTATATCACTTTATACAACTTCTCAATGTGTTTTTGTGCGGACTATTCGTATTTAAACATGCTTCAACCCATGCGCAACATGAACATCAGGCATTTCCCCACAAGAGTCAGCAATCAGCGCCATTGGAATCAGCTATGGAAAGAGAACAAGACACTGCAATTTCCATCCTCGTTGTCGGGGGTGGTATTGCAGGTTTGACCTTTGCTATTGAGGCCCATCGTAAGGGTCACAATGTCCGGGTGATTGAACGGCGACCCCTAGGGGTGACATTCGGTAAGTACTGAACAGGCAGAAGAGACCAACGCCTCCTTTACAGATATAACATTCCTTCCACTCGAAATGAGCCATCGCAATCGTGTTGTCCGTACTAGCTGACCAAATTCCGAACTTGATGCAGGTGAGATGATTGTCATCACGACTTCGGCCCTCCAGACTCCAAAGAAATGGCCCGGCTTCATGCAGGAGGCAAGGAAAGAGAGCGTAGCTCCGGAGGTCACTATGAAAAAGTTTGATGGTTCTGTGGTTGGAACCTTCCCCATTGGCGATCCGAACGACCCCTCTCTGGCCATCTACCGCTCAAAGCTACATAAGGTGCTCTACGGCTACGCCTCTCAACTGGGTATTACAGTTGAATTCTCCGCGATGGCTTCCGATTATTTTGAAGCTGATAATCGTGCTGGTGTGGTCCTGTCTGACGGCCGAAGGCTTACAGCAGACATAGTGGTCGCTGCTGATGGGGTTGGCTCAAAGTCATGGTCATTGGTTGTTGGTAACAAGGATCCTCCCATCAGCTCAGGATTCGTCTTATACCGGGTCACATTCCCCGCAGCACCGGCCCTCGAGAATCCAGTTATTGCAAGGGAGTTTGGAGGATATGAGGACCGTGCGTTCCTCCACGCGGGCCAGGGAGCGCACATCGTAAGTTGCAAGTCGGAAAATGATATTTGCTGGTTGCTCACCCTCCGGGTATGTTCGCTTTGTGCCGATCGCTGTTGGAACAAGATATTGATATTACTCAGGAGGATGGTGATGATACCGAAGAAAATTGGGCCAAAACCACATCAGTTGACAAGGCCCTTGCGGCTGTCAAGGGCTGGGAGCCCTTCGTGACCGAGCTTATCGGTGCGGCACCCAACCGCACGGTGCTAGACTGGAAGCTGATGTGGCGTAACCCTCAGTCAAAGTGGGTATCACCTGGCGGCCGGGTTGTCCAGATCGGCGATGCCGCGCATCCGTTTCTGCCGACCTCTGCTAGTGGTGGAACTATGGCCATGGAGGATGCGTACTCTCTGGCTGCCTGTTTGAGTATTGCTGGAAAGGACAACATGTCTATCGCAACAAAGGTGCATAACCATTTGAGGTATGTTACCCAATGTGCCAGCCCCTTTAAATATGCCAGCAAAAACGTCAGACATTACAGGAGCTGATGCACATATATCAATAACAGGTTCGAGCGAGTCTCCTGCGCGCAGAAGATGGGATTCAAAAATCGCGAGGTATATCACAACACTGACTGGGATGCCGTTGCCAAGAACCCAGAGATGATGGGCAAGATGGTCGGAAATTGGCTGGTTAATCATGACCCAGAGCAGTACGCATATGAGAACTATGACAGATGTGCAGACCACTTGCTCAATGGTGCACAATTTGAGAACACAAATGCTGTTCCTGGCTATGAATATAAGCCATGGACTGTCAAGGAGCTTCTGGACGCTTCGGAGCGTGGCGAGCCTGTTGTGGATGAAGGCGACTGGAGCTAAATAGAAAGTAAGCTTATCGGAGTGACCCAAGTTCAGTACAATCGATAGAGAGAATACATATTTATAAATTTCTGTTCAGCACTTGCGCAGTATATAAATTTGCTACAGTAAAGTGATCATCGGAAGTTTCTCACTCGGCAAACACATCTCAATTTGGTCGTATTCATTAATAAATTCCACATCCAGCCACTCGCACTTTTGTGAATCGAACGCAGTTTAACCAAAAATGGTTGAATCACAGACTAGACTGTCGTATAGATTGCCGATCTTGTACATGTGTAGACCTAAATTGTCTCCACTCAACTATAATTAGTTATCCCAGCCCTGGGCCCAGAGATCCTGCTTTGCGGTATTAGCTCCATTGCATCTCTCCCGACAAGATACACTACCAGGAATGAGACTTGAGGGAATATCGTACTGATTAGCAATCTGTCTCACGAACTGTGAAATGTATGGAGCAATAAATTGGACCAGAGATTAAAGGTAAACAAAATTCACATTTATCTTTCTGATCAGACAGTAGAGTGGCCTCAAGTTAACAGTTTGTATTTGTTAATTTCCAGACTATGAAAGCCTTTAATTTTGCATAGCCTTCTCGAATATGGAGTGGAATAGCGATTCTGCCTTCTTCATATCGACTTTGCCTGCTTGATCCCTCAGTCGTTGGGATTTGCATATGATTTCATCATGGAGGGACTCCCAATCAACACCGACGAGCCGACCATTCTGCTTGACAATTTTTCCGTCGACGATAACAGTGTCAATGTTCTTTGGCGATGCATGGAAGACCACAGTCGCGATAGGGTCCACAACGGGCACGGTATCAATATCATCACAGCGGAACATCACCAGGTCGGCCTTTTTACCGGGAACGATAGAACCAATCAACGAGTCCATGTCCATAACCTCTGCGCCTCCCAATGTTGCCATGCGTAACACATCTACTGCCTTCCTGCGGACATCTCTGTGGACTGTGCGATGATCACAGTCGCGAGCTCGTTGCGTCTGAAGAGCCAACCTCATTTGTGCCATGAAATCATTGCCTTGATTCGACGTAATATCGAGCCCAAGGCACGACCGACAGCCCATATCAGCAGATTTCCATACTACGGGATATCCCATTCCCATTTGCAGCTCCGTGTCGGGGGTGCCGACAATGCCAGCCCCAGAACTCTGCACCGCAGCCAGCTCGCTATCTGTCATCCAGCCTCCGTGACTAAATACAAGGTCCGGTCCCATGAGTTGTGCATCAGCCAAATCCTGGACGACCTCGGGGTTAGGGGCCCCATCATGAGATACCACTGAAGCGTGTACAGTAATGAGCCTAGCTTTGAGCTTTCTCGCGATTTCAAGTTCCTCGATTGTTTTTTCCCGGGATTGCGTCGGCGGATCGTTCAATGCGACCCCAAAAGTGAGAAGCGTACTGTTGACATCGTTGTTCAAGAAATGCTCTTCGCGCACACGGAGAGCATCATCGACTCGTGCAGCTTGGTCAAATGGGTCCGACGCAGTACTCGCAAAATCCCCGGGTTCTTTGGGGTTCCGGTAAAATCCATAGCAGAATGTTCCTCGAATACCAGCATCCTTCAAGCCCTTCACAGCTGCATCGGCATGTGCGGGCGAGTTTATAACGTGGCAGTGGTCCAGGACGGTCGTGATGCCGTTATTGAGCAAACTTAAGCCAGCAGCGTAAGTGGCAAGGTAGACATCATCTGGTGTGTATAAGCTCCCATATACACTCCTCAGGTGACATGCATACCCAAACAGAGACCAATTAGCCGTGATACCGCGCAAGAGATGCTGCCACATGTGATGGTGGCCGTCGGCGAATCCCGGAGTAATAATGCAATTCTTTGCATCGATGGTGGACACATTGTTTCCAGTTGGTAAGGATAGGTCTTGGCCTATATCCTGTATCCGGTCGTTTTCTATTAGAATGTCGCAATTGTAGAGGGGCTTCCCTCCCGATGTCACCAAGGGGATCACTGTTCCACCTTTAATAAGAATATACGAGTTTGACATAGCGCACAGCCTTCAATTACGATGACAAACCAGAAATATTGTGGAAATGCAAAGAGAAATACAAAGACCTTTCTTGAAAATGTACGCAGCAACAGCAGCTTTATATTTTATGGTTGACGTCATCGAGTCAGTCGGCATGATTTCAAGTCATCGCCGGGACAATAAACGACGAGAGTGTTGTAATCTATCCTAGAATGGAGGAATAGGTTAGATGGACAAATTGTGAATATTTGTCTGGCAATGGGTTGCCCAGATTTTTCACCTCGTCGAATCTACCAATCTATACACATATTCACACTCTTCAATGGCCTGTTTCTTTCGATTTGAACCCCGACTGTTCGTTCTCATCGAGAATATATTCCAACTTCTATCAAACTACGTTGCTCGGTTACTAAGTATGCTGATAACAGAGTAGTTAACCGCGCAAAACTAACACTTAATATCTCCACGACGTTCCACCATGGATCCGCAACGTGGACACACTCCCCAATCATCTGGCCTTCAGACTCGACGAGCTGGCTTGCCAAACAAGCCGGGTCAGGATCAATCACGCAAATATAAAATACCTCTATATTGAAAGTAACTTTGCCTGAGGTACTGGGCGTAGCTCAATGAATTCAATCTCCTCAAGACTAGTCCTATTTCCAGTAGTCATATACGCAATTTTATAATCATTCAAACTGGCCGCATAGATTTGGAATATCGCGCCGTGTAAGGCGTCTCCGACCGCTTGATATGCATGATATTGCCCATCCGTTGGAAGCCGAGAATCCGGCTATACCGTTCCACAGATGGTTCAATATGGGCCACGAACACACCAACATAGTTTAAGGGTCTAGAAGGAGGTTTCTTAAGACATGTTAATTCGGAATAAAACAGATAAGAGAGATTAGCATTCACATAGGGCACATTAAACCTTGCAGGAAGTGGGTGCCTTTGAATAGGATCAAGTTTGAACTAAGGACAGTGACCCTGCGACAGCATTACGGGGACTCCTGGCATTATATATCTAGGTACACCGGGTACATATGATATATGCATTGATATGACGTCTAAACGGGCTCATCATTGGAAAGAATAAAAAATACCTCTTACAGAAAATAAGAAATCAGGTTAGAGCGCTGATACCAGCGCTAAACTAGGATCGAGCTAAGAAATGTGGGCGTGTACTTTGTAGCTGGCGGGTTTACGATTTGGCAGCCTAGAACGCCCCTTCAAACCTGGCTTCTAGCACTCCCAAGAGAACACCCAAGAAAAAAACATATAAAATGCACGTCTCGCACGTTAGCCAAGTCTCCTTGGCCTTCTCGGCTTACTTTGCCTTAGATGATGCACTAGCTGACTCGATGCAGGTCAACCCCGCCGAGCATACACAGACTACGGCAACTGAACGACTCGATCGACCAGATTTGCAAAACAGAGGGCGTCCCAGGCGTTTCGATTGGGGTCATTGAACATGGAGAAACCTTGTGGACCGAAAACTTTGGATTTTGCGACAAATCCAAAACAACACCCCCAGATGCGCACACCCAGTACGGAATTGGACATATCACGATGTCAATGGTAGCTGCTGGTGTTGGAAAACTTGTGGATGAGGGAAAACTTCAGTGGACAACCCTCCTGAGAGAAATAATACCGGAGATTGACCATACTGGCGTCTACTGGGCCCACAGAGCAACAATAGCCGATATCCTGACACATCGCTGTGGCTTGGATGGAGAAATAGTAACTTTGCTAGCTGATGGTGGGAATGACAACATACAACCATCCCTCGAAGAGTTGTTGATGACTATCGACCGCATCCCTAGCCCGCTTCCGTACCGTGAGAGCTGGCGGATCTGTCCGTGGGGGTATACTCTCGCCGCGCACATAATCGAACATATATGTGGGAAGCCACTTCACGAGTATCTTCACTGTCAAGTATTTCGGCCACTCGGGATGATATCTACCACTTTCCGGCCATCATTTGAAGAGAGCAACAATGTCGCTGAACCGCATGCTTCACTTAGCAACGGGGAGGTTTATCCATTGACATTTCAACCCAATTTTGCGGATACATTATTCGAAGCGTCTCGTGGAGCTTATTCGACAGTGAGTGACCTTCTCATATGGGCCAAGGAAACAATGGCTGCGAGCCAGAGCACCGAGGCATCCCCTAACACAGTATTGAAACAAATACCGCACATCCTCAGCAACCATATCGCAATGCAGAGTCCATCGTTGTTGGAAAGATCCTACGGGTTTGGCTGGGCGAGAGTTCAGCTTCCTGGTATTGTTGGCCATCTTGGTGGAAATTCAGGGCTTTGGGAAATGCCTGAGAAGCCTGTCTTCGGGGCTGGAAACCAGTCTAGGCTCATGATCTATCACCAAGGCGGAGGGCCAGGATACTCTTCCTTCCTTGCTATGTTTCCCGAGACACAATCAGCCGTTGTAGTTCTCATGAACACCACTGCGGCGACTGATGCTGCTGACTGGATCGCGCGACTGCTGATCGAGGGGCTCTTCGACTTCGCCACACCCACCGATTATATGAGACTCGCAGAAGAAGGTAGAATACGGGCACTCAATCGATTTGCTACACTACATAACAGGTTAACCGAAGAGAGAATCCAAGGAGCCCCACCACTACCCCTAAAATGCTACGTCGGCAAGTACAGCAACGAAAAATATAGATACATGCTGGAAGTCACTCTGACTCCAGAGTCGGAGAGCGACCTTATGATTTCCTTCCAAGGTCTCGACTCACAGCGCTACCCTCTCCGTCACTACCACGACCACGTCTTTGAGTGGAGCATGAGCTTTGACGACGTGAAGAAGAGCGGAAGATATGATATCGCAGATCCTTCGTACTATAAGATTCGCTTCGAAATCTATCCTGACAATCGAGCGTCTCGGATAATTTGGAACATTCACGATGCGTCAGTTCCAGATGGACTAACATTTGAGTGGAAGGATGAGCGCCTTGCAGAAGCATGGCGCGCAGTACGTGCCGGTATGCATCGCTTCGTTTCAAACATGATATATCTAGGATTCGCTACTGACTCGAGGAAAAACTGCTATTTAGACATCACGGCCGCCAAGAAATTGTCGTAATTCGTTGAAGGACTTGAATATTTAGCCCGTTTGGGATTTTTCTTCTCTTGGGCTGATGATACTTTTTTTGTCCTCGGATGAACTGCCAACAGGGAAGCTTGCACAGCCTTCGGGCGGCAACCAGGAATCGAAAATGGTTTCTTTTTGAGTGGACTCCAAAATCAGACATAAAGAATAAAGCGGCACTGAGTCCATGCAAGTCCTAGATAAAAACATTTTACCATACAAGCGAGACGTGTTGTCGAGCCATCCTTCCCAAGAAGCTGCTCTCCGAACCTTGGAATTACGGATTGCCACCGTACGTCTCAGGCCTGCGCCATCAGGTGTTTAGAGTTCTTGCTACAATCCCAGATTTCAGACACTCCTTTGCTTTGGGAGAAGATATGCAGTAAATCCTGGATTGAAAACGATGAACACACCTGATGTCGACAAAGCAAATATAGAGCCACGTTACTCTGAGCTCTTCGCCACGATTGAAGCCAAGTTCGAAGTCTCCAACATCGCCAGTGAAAAATGATATCTCACAACTCTAAGCGCGGTTACGATACCAAAACCACACATGTTTGTGGCCAGCTATACCAGTACCTCATAAGTCAACATCCGTATCCGACCACCATTGCACGCTTGAAGCTGATTCGGCACATGCGCGAGGCACTGTTCAAGGAAATTGTTGTTCTTGAATTCCCAAGAGATCCAAAAAGAGATCCAAAAAGACAAAAAGCCATCGCAGTGTTTATCTTAAATCCATTGTTAAGACCATAACATGAACTTGCGGTCTGACATTGAAGTAAGTGCCCAGTGTGGATGCCGTTGATGGAAAATTGTAGAGACTTGACCCGATAGCAAGGCGATGGCAAATCGAAGTATATTGTCACATCTCCACATATGTTTCAAGACAAAGGGGGAAGAAAGAGAAGTCCGATAATAAACCCCCGAGGCCGTTTGTTTGGCTGCTTACCTAACCACCTCGAGGACCGCCCTTTCGTACCGAATCGGGAGACTTGTTTATGGCTGCCCCGCGTTTTCTCTCTTATTTCTGTATCATAAAAACTGTGGATAGTTAGGAGACTCACCGTGCTTTTTGCATTATCGTATTCCTTGCTCTTCCACCCCTTTGGCGGCACGTGTGCCTCCCGTTCCATCGCATGAGTCCGCCATGTCGGCCTCGTCGCGCAGCCAGAGCTCCTCCCCCGATATCCTAGGTCCTCCAGGCGATGCCCAGTACTTGATCTCATCACCGATTAAACCCTTCTCAGGGCGCCAAAGCTGGATGTCTCCTATGATCAGGAAATCACAAACCCCGGCCAAGCGACCGCGACCGCGCGTCAGTCTCAGTCCCGCAAAAAGCGCGCATTCGATTCAGTTCAACGATGTCATACTCCCTGGGTCACCGACAATGAAGCTCAATGGTGGCCGGCAGAGGTCACTCTCTCCGGAGAAGCTTCAGGATGGAAATGTTAGCCCGTGGCGCATACGACTCACGCTCGAAGCGACACAAGATGAAGATGACGAGAACCGGGGTAGCCCGTCGCGCAAACGATTTAAACCCTCGACCATGACAACGATGATACCATTGAAGGATGAGAGGAGTCCATTGAAGGAGAAGACGCCCTTAAGGCGGCGAGGTCGTCCACGAAAGTCTGACATGACTTTTTCCCCGTTTCCTGGAGGCGCTGGACAAACCCCTCGCCCTGGACATACACCTGGACCGGGACACACTCCTGGACCGGGACACACTCCTGGACCGGGACATACTCCTGGACCGGGGGATACTCCTGGGCTACTAGTTAATGACTCTCAACCGCGCAAAAGAGGCCGACCCCGGAGCACGCCAAAACCCAAACTACAAGATTTCCAGCTGCTGGATGACCAACCAACACCGACGGGCGAATACGACCACACCTTTAGTCCGATGGATATCATTCCCAATAGTGATGTCCTCCAAACCCAGCAATTCAGCCCAATGGACACCATAACCAATGAAGCTGATCTGGGTCAACACGAATACAGTCCGATGGATACTAGAGCTAGTGGAATTAGTCTGGACCACCGAAGCTTCAGTCCCACGGGTGCTTACACTAGCAACGCTGGCCTAGACCAAGAACGATTCAGTCCGACGGACTCTTTCGCTGGGAGCAATGCGCACGCTAGTCCCTTGAATCTCGTAGGGGATGCAGACTCCGAAGACGACTCTTGGGGGAACTCGGACATGTCAATTGCAGAGCTTCCTGACCCAACAGAGCCCATCACGGAAGATCTTAGCAATATTCGCCGTGAGTACGGTCGAACGAGTTTGGAGACGCCTGTTATCGGAGCTACGGAACATCACTTTTTGGATGATGAAAACATCCACTCTACCCCTTCTAAAATGCCATCACCTACACGCGAGAGAGCAATAATGTCATCGAGAGCTTCTCATAATACGTCTAGCCCACAACCACGCACATATCCCACTCCGACCCCCACATCTTCGCTGGCCGACGAAGAAAATCAAACCCGACAAGTCGACGTGAATCACCCCCCAAGGACAGAAACCCATCATGCCGAAACCGATCCCGCAGACGAGTACGATGAATTTGACACTATCATGGAAAGTGAAGGATTCACTATGATTTCCCTTGATACACTCCCATCAGCCAAGCAGCATGGATTCGGCTCTAGCGCTGCGACGAACGGGGGTCCCAAACCAAAGGAAGTCGGAGACCGGTTGAGACGCAAACTTCCCGGGACGATCGAAGACCTGCGAGGTGATTCTCGCGCTCACAGGTCATCCAGTCCAGTCACTACAGGCCTAGATGCTAGGCTATACGAAAATCTCGGGTCTCATATTCCGGAAAAGCGCACGGTACATGCGATTGAACAGCAATCTGTCAACTACATGAATGAGATCGCCCACCCTGAACTCCCTGGCGCGTCATCTCCCGCTAAGCCAACAATTGTTCCGAAGAAAAGGACATTCACCAGTTTAGCGAAACTTGTTCGTCTAAGCTTGGCCCTGCAAGGTCCCTTTAGGCCTCAAGCAGACGAGTGGTCAGGTAAGAGTAATACTCGTCACAAAAGACGTCGGTTGGAGGGTGTTTTCAGCACATTCAACGCTGAAACGCAGCGGAAACTCCGAACTGCTATGGGGCTAGGACAGGAGCTTGCTATGCGTCGAATGCTCGCCGATGAAGATAAGGCTGCGGCTATAGCAGCAGATCGTGCAGCATCTCGTCTCGAGGAGCAACGTCTCCAAGAGGAGCAGGAAGAACAGGAAGAACGTCACTATAACGATTTCAATGACGAAGAATTGGAAGAGCAGGAGCATGATGAACCCTTCGAATATGAGATCAAGAAGCAAGAAGAATACACCCCACTCTCACATTCCAAGCTCAACAACACCATGCAGCCAAGCCCGATCTCCCACCAAAAGGCACATCGGGAAGCACAATGGCAACTTGAACGAGAAGCGGTCAGCCGCCAGGCTCAGATGGCTTCAAACTCGAGGTCGGTCGTCTATATTGATAGCGATGAGAATGCGCCGGAAAATGATGGGGACATTGGACTTGAATATGAACAAAGATCTGAGTCTGAGATCAGAAATGGGTTTGATGAAGAGCCGAATGATCCTGCACCAGAACCAGAACCAGAACCAGCGCCATCGCCATCACCATCGCCATATGTACCTGACGCTGAACCAGAGCCCGAGCCCGAGCCCGAGGATGATGAGGATGATGGCTATGATGACATCTGGCAACTCGAAGCCAACGAGCACAGCCATATTTCACAACAGTCCCAGGAGGAGGATGTTGAGTCTAATCCGCAGCCGTTTGCACGTCCTTTGGGCAACCTTGCTCCAATTTCCGCTGATCAAGACTACTTAAGCTCATCTCCTTACGCTACTTCGGAACATAATTATGCCGCGCGCTTCGGGCCGTCCAAAGTTCGCGAGCTCCGTGAACAAAAGGTCGATTTGTCTGCTTTGCTTGCGGAAGAGGATACACCAAATCGCGCGCGGTATTACAATGGAACGAGCACGCCTCGGGGTGTACTCGCCCGCCCATCAGAGACACAGAATTCACCAATCAATAAACCTGTCATGAAGGACGCGGTATCGCGTACTCCAGCGCATATTCGTTTACAACCTCTCTCCCAGTCCAGCCCTGATGCTCCCAGTCCACGGGTCCCCAGTCCACAAATCGCGTCCCTCGGTGGGAAGAAATCTCCAAAGGTTGTCCAAAGAAGCCCACCCATGCAAGACGCTTTGGAAGAAGACCATGACAACGGCAGCGTTTTCGATGCTGCACTCAGTCAATCAGAATCTGCCAACGTCGGCTCTGCCTCTACCCCACAGCCTCGACAGCTCAATAGGGAGGAGCCAGGATCATCCTGGTTCAGCAAAATAACCAGTTTCACTCCGCAATGGCTAAAAGCCCCCACCCGTGACCGAAGTTCAAGTGTCAGTACTATTCCGGAGGAAGCATCTGACTTTGAAGATGAAGAGGAAATCGCGGGCATTGAATCTGCGAAGGAGCTTGACGGCCATCTCCAGGATGAGCCGCTCTCAAAGCAGGCAAGCCAATCGCCTGCGAGCCACTGGAGGCGGTCATCTTCATCTCAGTCTCCCCAGATACAGCAAGATCTTATTCCTACAATGGAAAAGGAGGACCTAACACACGAGCGAAGTGTTTCTCGAGACCTCTTAGAAGAAGAGGTGGCGAATTCTGAGCGGAGTGTCTCGCAAGATCTCTTGGAGAACGAAAATGCAGAGCCAATGAACCAGCATGGGGGGTCTCCAGGGCCTCGACCACTTGCCCTTTTCGGATACTTCTCCGACGAGCATTACGCCGCGCTTCGTCGTATCTACCGAGTTGCCAAGCGATACCCCGAGCGCTTTGAATACTACGATTCCCCAGGGCGGGCTGCCATTATCGGTGATTGGATATGGACCTCCGATGGTCATCACGGGGTGCCCATCACAGAGATCCAGTTTGCCATCATTGATCGCTTTGCCCAGGAACTTACTCGGGCTGATATCCAATATGGTGGTAGCGGACAGATCGATTGGACAGAAGCTGATCTGCACCGGAGACTCATTAGCATCATTATTGGCGAGCAGATCCGAGAGGAAAGAAAGGCCAAGGCGAGCCGGGGTACTTCGGTGGATACATGGCGATGAGCGTCTATTTTTTTTTTCGCCTTCTTTTTATCTTATGTACTTTTTTGGATATCCGATTAGCACTTGGCGTCATGGTTTTGTTTTGGATCTGTTGTTTTGGTTATGATTCCCTCACGGTTATTGGTTAGGCTTGTGTGCAGCATTTGGGCTGTTTTGGCGTTATGCCCGTGATTAGTTTAGGCCTCTCTAGTCTCGTCGGATATGAAGGGGGTACTGTATACTATAACTTCCAAGTTTTCGACATGACCGAAGTACCAAATCCCGGAAGGGGATCCTTGACTTTATCTGCGAACACCCTGTGTATATCGCATCTAGAACATATGTATCTAGCCAACTACGGAGGTCTCCTGCATCAAGATCCCTTGTTTCCCCGAGTATCTGATGGATCCGGGATTAATCGCAGATGAATACGGAACCAACCCAGTTCAGCTCATTATACCAACCAAGTCAATATCAACGTCAACGTCAAGTCTCATTGTCTCCTAATGGAACGACTATACACCAATCCTTCAAACTGTCAAACCGAGCCCAAAGCAAACACAATCTACATTGAAGTCCCGACCAACCTGCAGTCCGCCGCCATCTAGACCAACCAGCCCAACCCGCACCTGCACGATCGTATACTTCTCGCGTGGCCAGCCAAGCAGAAGCCGGAGAGCCTCGCATTCCCCACCTCCGTGTGAGGTACCTGCGAGGTGTCCCTGCAAGCGTTTTCGTCCCTTGGGTGTCGGTCTGGATCGTGAAGTACCACTTGGGAGGCAAAGGAATTTATTTATAAAGGGCAGTGTCGCGATATAAGATCATTCCCAGAGACGAACCAAGATACCAAGTATATACTATTACTTCCGTCTCTTCTATTCCACTTTCATACATATAGTTTATGTATCGATCCCAACAATGTCGGTATTCACAATCGTCCACCGAGCCCTCCCACCCCTATCTCTCCCCTGGAAACGCCGAACAAGTCTAAAAGGCAAATCCCCTGTGGAAGTCCTCAACGAAAAGAACCCCATCCTGTCAGATTCCATTACCAACACCCAGAATGAAACGATCTTCATGCACAGTGACGTCCACGGTCCCGTACAGGTAGCGGTGAACACCGACGCACACCACAAACCAACCCAGTCATCGGAAAATACCCCAGCCCCGTCGGATTCGACTTCCGAGAGCCGAGCATGCTATTCCGGCCAGGTGCGTCCGACTCGGGCACAGCTTGATCGCGCTGTTAGTTGGGCGAGTATTATCCGCAGTCGGGATCGGTGGACGGATGAGCAGGAGAGGGAGCTTGTGCGTGCGCAGAGGCAGTTGGGGAGGTGTCAGAAGGCGTGGAGTTCTGAGCAGGAGGTTTGGTTATCCTATGTAAGTTTCTTCTTTTTTCTGTTTTTCTACATTATCATTATTGTATTGTTCTAGTCGGGTTCATCGCCTTTCCAATTTGTTCCTAAATAAATCATGGACTAATTTATCGATTCAGGTCCAGGCTCTCAGCGAGGAAAAGGAAGCCCATGTCGGTTTCCTATCTATGCGACACAGACAACAGGATGAGGAGCAGCACCAGTTCCGTAAAGCGTGGAAGCGACGACGATCTTCGTCAGGTGATGACGAGATGCAGCAATCTGCGATCGAGACTGTGAACCGATTGGGGAAGTTGCGTCGCTTACAGCGCTCTGTCTCTTCTAGCTCTTCAGGGCATCGGTTGGGCGCGATGGGATCGGCAGTTGTGGCTGTGGAGGCGTGACACTGTGACAAGAGTGGCTTTGGAGTGTGTTGAAAAGATAGAGGTTAATTTGTATTCAGTTTAGAGTATTCTAATTAGTAGTTGAATGGACTTGGTATACATCCAGGGTGTTATGAATTGAATATTTCGTGTCTAACTTGGTATCATAAATCACTCAAACCATGCTCTCCTAACAATCTCTTCCAAACCCTACTTTTTCCCCTTCTCCCTCCCATCAGGCCACTTCCGAAACAAATCCGCCAACCTATCAATCGGTGCCGTCAAAAGCCCAACAGCAGTCTCAAAGAACGGCTCAGTGGGCGCAAGCGGATGCGCTCTCGACGGAACAAAGATCTGAACTCGATCCAGAGACTTGGTCAACTCCACACTCTCATCTTTAGACAACAACTCCTCAAGCCTAGGCAAATCCACAGCCTCCTCGTGTCTAGCATGAATCCCCAAATCACGCATCAGCCCTTTAAGCGTGGGTACGAACCTCGGATCCGTAGACGATAACTCCTGGAAAGTCTTCAACTGATGTTTAACGGCGCGATGCTCGAGTCTGTTTTTATCTACTATTCCCTGTCCATCCGGGAGAGAGGTGATCATGGCTGGATACACCACTAGTTCCTCACCGATTAGATGGCGAGCTAGTTCCCAGACGAACTGGTTTTGGAAGCGGGTTTGTTGGTCTGGCTTTGTTGAGGAGAGAATCTTGTGGCTGTGGGATTCGAGTTCGCAGTGTTCGTGTTTTACGGCTGGGATAATACGGCTGTGGGCTGTTGGGGATGAGATATCTTCGGTGTAGTATTGGAAGGCTGGGATGTTGCCGCTGAAGAGGGGTTTGGGGTGTTCAGCTTTTGGTCGTGCTGTTGTCATTGGGAGGCTGGGGATGGAAGGGTGGATGGCGAGGACGCGCCGGAGCATGAGGATGGAGGTGTTGTTTGATGCTTGGAGGATTGGTTTTTTGCTGTCGTTTGGGGGATATATTGTTGAGAAAGTCTACTTGATAGAATAGTCGGTGATGAGTTCCGTTGTTGTCATGATGATGATATGCTAGCCCTTAGTTGATATCAATAACTATGAACAATTTTACACTGGAGAGAATCACCAGAAGGCCAAAGACAGATTAAACCTGATTCTCATAGATCATAACTGTGAGCTTCGTTTTCCATGTTCACTTTAGGAATCGAAGCTTTCTAGATGGTTGGATGGGATAAAATAGTAGACTGTACTTTTGTGGACTCAGTGTTGGTGGAAAATGTAGCCCTGGAGGGATTCTTCGAGCCCGTCATCAACGCGTTTATCATTTAAGATATAAACACTCAATGTGAGCTGCAGATATCCTTCTATCGAATAGCATTGGCCTATAATATTAACCAAATGTGATGCTGACCAGGGGGCAAAACACCCCTTGGCCGAGGTGATGAGCTACGATCAGTATATATATATATATATATAGCCACCTAAATCGATATTACAAAAAACCAAAGAACAAGGTATCCATGTAAATTGTACTGCCCAACATAGGGGCAAGCATGAACGAAGTACTATGTGTGTTCAAAGATTCCCAACGCCTAACACGTCTGGGCGAACATGAGCCCGGAAAGAAAAAAAAGGCAATAGACACAGAAAAAGTAAAAGTATAAAATCCCAAACACCTCCGAGGTCCATCCCTCACAGCATAGCTAAGATCAATTGATAAAGGGTAATCCATAACCGCGACCTGCGGTAAACTCCCATCCCATCTAAACGTACATCCGAAACTTCATGTGCATACTCAGTGATTGCGGGTCCGCTTTCGACTGCGCTCGCGCTCCATCGCTGCAGGCTGGAACATCTCGAAGCCGGGGTGGTGAACGGTAGGAGTCCAGTCGATACCCATTGCGGGGGAGAAATCCGGGTGCAGCTGGCTGAAGACCGCGGGATCGGCTGGGTGGCCATCAACCGACTCTGAGGGGGCAGGAAGAGGTGCAGCGACGAGTTCGACTAGAGATGCGTCGATCCAGTTTGGTGGTTTGCTCGACAGACGGCTGATGCGCGCGCAGTCGTCGTCGACTTCCTCGTTCATCAAGGAGGTCAATGGGGGCGCGTTGCCGTTTGGCCGTGCGTGGTGGTTAGAGAGAACGTGGTATGGGAGGATCGGACGGGTGGCAGGTTTATCGGCCAGGTCAGCTAGGGCGCTCAGGGCACTGTGCACGGCGGTTGTGCGGGTAGATCGGGTAGCATGGAAGTTGTGGCTGGCGGTGCGCATCATATCGGCTGCGCTCGGTGTGCCATTGTCTTCGTGGCCTGTGCCCTCGGGGGTATCCTCAGCATCGGTATTGTTACCGTTCGTCACTGCCCCGGATCCGTGGTCTGGGCGTCTGGAGGTAGAGAAGAAGTGGACGGTTGCCAGGTGTGCCTGGTTTGCGTGTGCGTTGAGTTCCTTATCGGTGAAGAGAGAGTGGATCGAGTAGGTAGGTGCCACCTGCTCCTTTGTGACCTCGGCCTTGTTGCGCTTCGCGGGCGTAGCATCGCCCGTGTCCCGCGCAGGCGACCCATTGTCGTCCTCCGGAGCCTTGCGCTTGCGCTTGTTCAAATCCGTGATAATTCCGTTGCCCAGCTCGTCGAGGTCAACGCGGTGACGCGTATGCCGAGTCTTACGATTACTGTGGATACCACCAGGACTGGCGGGGTTTGTGATGCTGAACTGGTTGGGGTGGAGGAGCAGAGCATTGGTGTCGGCGATATCGAGCTGCTCCTTTTCACGCATCAGACGGGCGCGCTTGCCGGAGATATTCTGCATCAATCGCTCTCGAAGGGTAGAAGACAAATGACGGAATTCTTCTTGTGCGAAGTAAGTGCGGAAATCCCGGTCCCGCTGTTGTCTTTCCATAACGTTGTTATAGTTGTTCTGCATAAGAAAAAAAAAAGTCACTGATTAGGAAAGCTCCTTATAGATGAGAAAAGCATAAAACCCACCATCGTTGTAACCAACTCTGCATCTCTCTTCTCCTTAATCTCATTAACCTGCTGCACAAATCTGGAATACCATGATCCAGCAAGGCCAGCCATCTCTTTCGCAAACTTGCTGCCGCCACCAACAGTCTCCTCAATCAGCGAAGCAATGCTCTCCGCGGAGTCCGGGAGTGGTCCAGTCACGTAAGGATCAGCATTGTTGATCAAAGTCATATCGCACTGGAGTGCGTGTAACTGCTGACGAAACTGGATGTCCCGGTTATTGCTGAACTGCGCCGTCAGTTCCTGGAGCCGTTCCTGGAGCGCGGTGCGTCGCTTGTCGCGTTTCGAGGGCGCGCCACCAGCCCCACCGCCGGGGCTGAGGGGCGGAGGGTTATGGTAAGACATTGTATGTGGCGAGGGTGGACGAGAAAGAGTGGTAGATTGCATTGAGTAGGTGATCGAAGGAAGATGAGATGGGAGGGGTGGGTCACGGTCGAATATGGACGGCAGAATGTTTGGCCGCCCCGAGAATAGGTACGTAGTGAAGACAAGGTGAAGAGAAAATGAATAGAGAAAATGGATAATCTAATGTTAATTAAGACAAACTGATTGGGGGAAGTAGAAGAATATATACAATGGACTGAGATACTCCAGTTTCCCGTCTTCTATTGGTGTTCATTGTAATTCAGACTACAGCTACCCAGCTATCTTGAGCTATATACTTCGGCATAATATTCACTTGTCAAACCGTTAATCTAGCAGAAAAAGCCAACATGATTAATCCGCATTGGTATATCATTTACACTACGATAGTGTAGGCAACGCGTATTCTGACAATATGTACGTCCCGGTGATGCCTAACAAGAGCCTGACGAAACCAGAAGCATGACCCCTACATATACGAAGTGCTTACACCAGTGATATCTTAAGAGTACAGAAAAAGAAAAATGTTGTTAATAGCAGATATATTCCCGCTAAATCGTGTATATCTATACCTGTCATCAAGACAGAAAAAAATAATCATAAAACCCGAATCGCCAACAACAACCGGGGTATTCATAGTTCATTCAAAACGTTCGCGGGAATGGAACCCCCAAACGAGTTCATGCAAGGGTGCGAAATTATTTCGCACCGGAAAATCCAAATCCCAACACCGGGGACACCTCCAAGGGTCCCATGTCATCTTTTGTGAAGGCCGTTTGTTAAAATATGCTATTGCGGAAGAGGGTTGAAGAATGAAAAAGAGGGAGAAAGAAGGGAGAGAAAGTGATCTAGCAGTGCTGCAACGATCTAATTCGTTCGGCGAATCACAAAGACACCAAGCTCGATACCATCACGAGGCTCATTGTCCTCGCAATAGCGTCGCTTGCGGATGCCATCGCAGATCTCACTCAGGAGGCCAGAAGATGTGACCTCTTTGTTGCCCATCATGCCGGAGCATCCGGAGCTTGCGCTCTTGGATGAGCGACGGCCGTTCTGCCAGTACAAACTGAGAACTTCCTTCATGCGGGCCTTCTCCTGGTGGATGAACCACTCGGCCCAAAGGCTGCGGTCGAGGTGGGTCTCTCCGCGGCCAGCATCGGCTACGTGGAATCGGGAGGAGGAATCGTTATCGCTCAATGATTCACAGAGTGCCACGATATTCGCCTTCATGGTGGCAAAGTCATCCATTTGCGAGACGGATGAGAGCTTTCCAAGATAGCGGCCCACATCTGCGGACAACTCATTCACTACAACAAGTTGGCGGAGAAGAGGGTCGAGGATGGGGCCCAGGTACTGCGACTTGAAGGTTGATGCACCTTTCTTGGTTGGGTACACAAAGAGAAGGGAGCCACCATTCGGTGATAGCTCACTCAGACGGTCAACGAGGAAGGATGGACGGGTACGACAAAACAGATCACGGTACTCTTGGGCGGAGGTGGGGGGGAGATAGCGCTCGAGGACCGAGATGTGAACGCTGCGAGGGGGAACAATGGGCATCGGGGCGTGGGACATTTGCCGTTGGAGGGGCCCACGGTAATCATGGTAAGCACCCACAACTGCCGCACTGGAGAAAACAGTGGAGTTGAAGTAATCCTCGGTAGCAGCGGGAGAACGAGGAGTGCTGGGGGGAGAGTGGGGGAGATTCGAAAGGCTGAATTGTTCCGGCACAGCGTGGGTGATATTGATATAGGGTGACTGGCCAGGTTGCAAGTGGTTGTGGACAGCCTGGACAATGGAAGAGAAAACACTGTCGGTTTTCGATACTGATGCTGTCTGATCAGATGTTCTAGGGTATGGAAGTGTCTGGGAAACGATTTTGACGGCCTCGCCTCGTGTCTTGCAGAGTGCGAGTGATGAAGCTGGAAAAGTTCAGTGATTGATCTTAAGCAGCGGATGTGCGGAAAGCTTACCAGTCAAGTTGATGCCATGATCCAGCCATGAGCCCATGTCCTGCTGGCAGTCCATCTCATCGTGGGGCCCAGGGCTGCCTCCAGAGCTGGAGGATCTATGAGAAAGTCCATCGGATGAGCTGCTAAGTGTGTCCGAAGCACCGGTTGCAGAGGAATTGTCCACACTCGGGTTGTCCATCATGACCATGGATCCCGGGTGGGAGTGTGAATCAAACAACATCATCTCGGACTTGGGGTTCCAGGCAACGTGGATATCCTCGTCTGGCGGCGTGGGGGGTAATGTAGCGGGGTATTCGGACTGATAATGAGAGTCCCAAGCGGTTGAAGTAGCCAAAGGCCTCGGCCCGCGAGACACAGTGGTTGAAAGACGAAGACGAGAGTCGACCGACCGAGGGCGAGAATCCAGACGGTAGGGCGAGCCAGGTGAGCGAGGCGAGGCTCGTTGATCCCAAGATGGGAAGTTCACGGCCACGCTACTCTTAGAGAGAAAGCGAGATACCGGTGAGGGTCTGGCCCGAAGAGATCCTTGTGAAGCTCGTCGGCGAACCCTGGCAGGGTTAAGAGTTTCCTGTGTATCTGATTGCTGAGGGAGATGCGCTCTTGTGTCGAGTTTCACTGTTGGTGGGACATGCATGGTGTGATCGTCAGAAGGATTGACGGACCAGTACTCTCCATTGCACGAGGAAGTCATTCAGATATATCCAACGGACGGAAGATGACCGGTACAAATCATTCGAATGGCAAGATGACCTAAATATGACCGGGTCTAAAAGGGGGGTCACGAATCTGACGTTTAGAAGATGGATATTTTGAGGGGGGAGGGAAAGAGGAAGGGATGAGAGAGAAGAAGAAGCAAAAGAGGGCGTGAATTATGGAAATTGACGGGAAGGGAAGAGTGGGTATTGGGTACTTGAGCATAATACGGGCGAATAGGCACTAGACCATGTACTGGGTACTAACTGGGGCAAGGGTTGGGGCCAGACTCTTCAGGTCAGGCAAGTCTAGACCTTCCAAGTCATGGAGTCATCGGTTTCCACCTTTTCCTTTTTTTTCCTTTTTTTTTTTTTTCTGTAAGGGATATAATACTATAGAATTTTATATTAAACTAACCTGATAGAAATAAAATTGTATAATAATGCAAGTTCTATTGTATATGTAGTTGTGTGTATAAATGTAGTCTAGACCGATGGACTTTTGTCTGGGCTCCACGGGGGAGGGACGATCGTTTTCGGGTGCAAGTTGGGACACTTGAATAATGTATGAAATATAGTCGAATATAATATGAATCTGAATCTACTTGAAGTCCTCATTACCCGAACCAGACTCAAGCATAGCACTAAGATTGTACATTATTCCCCCAATGCGGCCTGAGCCTTTGGTTTCACAAGTCGCCGGTACCACACATTGGCTGTGGAGCGTGGGCCTAGATGAAGTACTGAGAACTTCCAACTTTCCATGTAGTCCTCCGTTTCCGGTCTGAGGGGTTGGGCATATACTAACACATACAACCATTGTGTACATAGGCTACAATAAATATCTAATAATACATCGGTTCAATGCCTAGTTCGCAGCAAAGTTCGCATTCTAATGAAATCTTAAGAATCCGAGAGGCAACCCCATATTATTCAGATCCAGGCTAGACGTTGACACCGTTTTAATTTCCACTGTGCGCCTCGATCTGGTTTGCTTCCCTGTTCCCATCTCCGGCTACTCCACCGTCTCACATAGAGTATATTGCCACGGCAGTAGATTAATTGGCATTTAATTGACCATGCCATATGAATTAAATTTAAGATGCAACGTGGGGTTTACTGTTAGGGTTAATATATATAACCCTGGAAATCCCCCGTCAAATAGAAGAGTACACGTCAACTGATATTAAGTGCATTCGCATTACTTGATAGTAACCCTGATGGATTATGATTAAAATTATATATATATAGATGCCCGACATGAAACATCATGCCTGGTAGCCCGATTCCAACTTTGGAACCTTCCAAGGAATATCTCCCGAGACGATGGGATTTCGTCGACGGTTCTGGGTCCGATTGCATCACAGCGGACTCTAGATCCGCGACCCTTGCATATTTGGCCTCGGTCGCGTGGAGCGTTGAGAGCCATGTGTTCCGTGATCGGGGAATTGACATCTGAAATCCCCGATGAATTCTCGGTAGATTCACAAGTTCCGTAGATACTTTTGTCGAATCCCGAGTTCACTCGGCAAAGAAAGGCTGATTTTGGAAAACCGCCCTGATCGGTGACAGGTTGGTTGAGAGGAGAATTCATATGACAGCGAGAGTTTCGCCACCATAACCCAACAGATTCCTCTCATGAAGTTAGCGACCGACGGCGAGACCGAGTCGCAGTAGTGCAGCCGGCCAGCGGCTGTGTCATCTCCGAGCAATTCCACAAAAATGAGGAGCGATATCTCTGCTCCTCCCGTGTGAGACGGACCTGTTTCCGCGCGAAACTCGAAGGCTTCAGAGGAATTGTGCAGGAGGCGGATCGACTACCGTAGACAGGCATGGGGTTTTTTGCGAGGGACGGATTCACTCGAGCCGGGTTATCGAGTGTCACACTGAGCTCGTAACACTGACGAACGAGCTGCTGCACGCCGTCCGTCAGACGGGCAGCGCGCTCCTCGATATCCGGCCAGAAAGCATCGCCCCAAAGGGGTCTTCGCAGACTGCCGTCTCGAGGGCGTTCAGCCAGCACTGGAATCCGGAGCGGGCACCTGCGAGCTGGGAAGCGACGGTGACGAATCGGATTGTCGGCTCGGAGTGTAGCACGTGATGGACGATGCAGGCTGGACAGCGGGCTGTGAGGTACCAGTCGTGTTCTTCTGTGAGGATGCAGTTCAGCCAGGCGAAGGCGCTGCGGGCTTCACCGCGGAATGCGCGTTCGGGCTCGGCGCCTTTTTGGGTTGGGAGGGTACGGGCTGCGATGCGCTCGGCTTGGTGATTGATTAGGAAGAGGGGGACGAGGAGGGTGTGGATGATATCGCGGTGGAGGCGGAAGGTTTCTTGTTCGGTGGAGGTGCAGGAGTGTCGATGGCCGGCGCAGAAGCTTGGTCGTTCCATACCGCACTCTTGGCGGCGAAGTTGTTCTCGCATTACTCGGAAGGCCTCATTGCGCTCTAGCTCGACTTGTTGGTGTCGGGAGATGTGGAATGGGGAGGCCATTGTGGATGATCTGTGTGTGTTTTCCAGGTATATATTTTTTGGGGCATCGACGATCGGATAGGTTATAGAACCATGTCGAGATATAAAAACCAGCTTACAGGTTAAAGTTGAAGTCCATAGAAAAAAATAAGGGCCGGATCCGGGCTAGATATTATATTTCCCCCCTTTGCGGAAACGTCATCAACAGACTCTCCCGTTTCGGGTGCCAAGTCCACAGGACAGCCCAGACGATCCCAATGGAAGACTCCACTAGCTGACGAACACTCTGCGTATGGCGATGATTATTGGTGGAGATGTCGGAATGAAGTGGAGGAGTGGAGATTGGAAGGAGTCTGGACTGTTGCACTTTTGTTCAGGGACGTTTATAGATCTGCTATTAGAGTAACATAACGCAATTTGGTAGAGAGACGTGACATGATTTTGCTACCCACTACCTACTAACTTTTACGCTCTCATCACCCATCTCAAAATAGTCCAAATATTCACAAAAATAGCTATCTCGCAAGGACCTCGCTCTAGCCCGACCGCCGAAAACCGCCCAGTGGGGTAACGTGGCAGCGAACTCAAAAAAGATTCAATGGATCGTATAGCGTTATTGCTAGCGTTGATACGGGTTATTAGATGCATTAGGGGTTCATGCTTGATTTCATCCCTGATATCGGCCCAACGTGTCTCGTGAACATAGAGAATTTCCCAGAAAATTTCAATTCTGCCGATCGATGAGCTGCCGTGTGCCAGGATTTTAAAAGGACTATCTTTCCCATGTCCAGTAATAGTGGATATAAGATCCAGAACAGCAGTGATTGACCGGGTTTGAGATGGGGAATACATGTCCGACACACAACATAATGATAGTACATGTACTCCGTCTACATGTATGTACTACCAAAGTAGTTTATAAACATGTCTCAAGCCCCGAGTATTTATAGTATAGGGGGGCTATGGAACTCGGCAGGTTCCGGACAAGGGGGAATATTCGGTGAGATTGCACTTGTAATTTTAATTTAATATTCAGGGACTGCACATGTGCACATCTTAAGTACTCCGTATGTCTGGACGGAGTACTCCGTTGATGTCCTTGTGTGATACATGGGAACTAGGGCTGGGCCCCTAGGAACAGTAAACAACCAACAGTCAACAACATTTGATATTTACAGAAATACTATTTTCGTAGTCTAACATTACTTTATACACCTTCCAAAACAATCTGGAATGTAAATAAGGCATGGAATGAAGCACGCTAGATTAGACCCTGCAGATTTGGTTGCTACAGTCCCAAATCAAGGAACAACCATTTTGTGTTTCAGCTCTTTCCCTTAAAAATTTGCATTGCACTTGTCCTTCTTTCAGCAAATTACCTGGACATCTGGACTTTTTTTCTTCTTTTCTTCCCTTCAAGCCATTGCTAGTTTATTATATCTTCATTACTTGCGCATTAATCATGTTTTCATCCCTGGCATTGGTGCTGCTACTCGGCCTACAGGCCACAGTGGGCGCGATCTCGCCCATTTCGGCTGTCGGCAACAAATTCTTCTACGAGAATGGAACTCAGTTCTACATCAAAGGTACCTAGGATCTTACACTTCACTCCGTGTATGTTGCCTGACTGACTTGAATAGGCATTGCTTATCAGCTTACCCCAAGTGACCCGCTTATCGACACTGCCCAATGCAAGCGGGATATCGCCCGGATGTCCGAGCTGGGCACCAATGCGATCCGTGTGTACCACGTGGATCCCCATGGTGATCACAAGGGCTGTATGTCGGCACTGGCGGATGCTGGTATGGTTGATTCCAATTCCCAGGGTCTAGATGCATATTGATGCATTGTCTAGGAATCCACCTCTTCGTCGATTTGGACACTTTTAATACCCAGATCGAACAGGTAGGTCCACTTGCCCCTCATGTGGATCCCATATACTGACGATCACAGACCAAGCCTCACTGGAATCAGACCCAATTTGATGCCTTCAAGGCGGTGCTCGACGAATTCCAAAAGTTCGAAAACACTGCCGGTGTCTTGGTCGGAAATGAGGTACTCACCACGGCCGATGGCTCGGCGGCTGCTCCCTACGTCTTGGCGGCTGCTCGTGACATCAAGGCCTACCGTGATAAGAAGGGCTATCGCGACATTCCCGTTGGTTACTCTGCGGCCGATATTGCCGAGCTGAGACCTATGCTCCAGAACTACATGGCCTGTGACAAGGATGCAGCCAATCGCTTGGACTTTTACTCGCTGAACGCCTACGAGTGGTGCGGTTCGTCCAGCTATGAAAAGTCTGGATACAATATCCTGCAGAAGAATGCCACTGATTACCCCATCCCTATCTTCTTCTCCGAGACCGGCTGTAACACCCCCTCACCTCGCACCTTTGAGGACCAGGCTGCCATCTTTGGTGAGCACATGTCTGATACTTGGTCTGGATCCATTATCTACGAGTGGATCGAGGAGACCAACGACTATGGATTGATCAGCTATGGTCCTTCGGTCGACGCTGCGACTGCGACTGCGAGCTCCATCGAGGACGGCTTCACCCGCAAGGGCACCCCGACGCCTGTGTCACCTGATTTCAACAACCTCAAGTCTCAGTGGGCTACTCTGAACCCGACCGGTGTTGCTCTTTCTGCCTACCGGAAGAGCGCGTCCAGCCTCACCGGCATTGAGTGCCCTGCCTCGACCTCTGGTGGATGGGCAATCGACCCAAGCTCGCCGCTACCTACCTTAGGTCAGACCTATACCAAGGGATCTCATTCCACCACGACCGGTAAGGACATCAATAAGGTCCAGGCAACCGGATCCCCCTCTGAATCGGCAACAAAGGAAGGCGCTGCTCACGCTGTGACTGTCGGCTCGCCAGCTACCGAGCGCCTGCTCGCTGGATCCTTGGTACTGTCTGGCTTGTTGGGTGTTGTTGCCCTTTGGCTTTGATTTTATTGTTTTTCTTCCTGACCCTTGTTGGTTGCTCTATTGTATTGATATGCATCACACATTTGGGATAAACGAGTTCAGTCGAGCCACTGCATGATATATTGGAGTCGGCGTGCCGTTTTTATACAGATGTTATCTCGGGTTTGTCTTTCACGAAGCATGAAGTGTACACAAGAAACGAATTATTAGTGCTTGAATTATCCTGGCATTATCGTACATCTTATTTAAACGTTAACCCTTCTATCCCAGTAATGTTCATATCCAACTCTGGCAGATACAGCTGGGGCAAGGCCTGCTCGTGTATGTCAGGTTCTTCAAACTCCTCAATATCCTCAATATCAAGATCAAAAACATGTTCGTCCTCAGTATTACTCTCACTCTCACTCCCAGCATCCCCAAATCCAAAATCAAACTCTGAAACCGACCCCGAAACCGACTCGGACTCGGAAGCTCCCTGAGCCGCAAACCCAACATCACTCCCCCCAACCCCCATCTCCCGAATATCCTCTAACCTACCATCCCCATCTCCACCCCGATCCTCCTTCTTCCCCTCCTTGCCCTTCCATTTCCCACAGTGCAAAATTCCCTCCATCTTCCTCCCCCCACCCCCCGTCTCAACAGCACCCGCAAACCCCCTCCTAACCCGTTTCGCAAGCGGTCTCTTCCCCCCTTCAAGATCAAGCATAGACCTAACTACAACCAACATCCTCGGCACAGCCCAAAAAACCCGATCAGACCGCCTATCCCGTCGACACCGTTTCAACGCATCACCCTCTAACAATGCAATCCACGATTGAACCTGTACTGCATTTCGCGCAAGATGGAATGACGCATCTGCTATCCCGCCGCCGCGTCCGGCAGATCTGTTTCGGGCGCTGCGGTGCGTCGCGAAGGACGTGAGGGTTCTTTTGTGCAGGGTTGTTAAAATGTCGAGGGTTGTTGCTGCGAGGGAGAATATGTCTGCTGGGGCGTTGGGGTCTGGTATAGATGAAGAGGGGGCGGAGGATGGATGGGGGGGGATTATTGTTGTGATGGATGGCGTTAGGGATTGGGTTGATTTTGAGGGGCGGAGCGGTTGTGGTAGGGAGGTTGGGGATGTTTGTGGGTTTGAGGATTGTGTTGTTGACGAGGAGGATGTGGAGGTTGACATTATTGATGGGGGTCTTAGATTTTTGGTGGTTCTGGACCAGAAGGATGTGAGGCGGTGTCTCTTTGGTTGGGGGGATGTTGCTGTTGCGTCTGTGTAGATTGAAGATGCTGCTGAGGATGCACCTGAGGACGAAGAGGAGTATGAGAAGGCGAGGGAGAAATGGGATGGGGAGTTTGGTAGGCCGATGCGGATGACTGTTCGTTTTGAGGAGGCTGAGTTTGGTCTTGTGTCTGCAGATGCAGGTCCGATTTCGTTCAAGGGGGATAAAGGTAGACGGGTTGGTCGTTGTCTGCGCTTTGTACGTCCTCCCGAGGGGAGGAGGGTTTGTGTAGGTTGTGGTTGGTTTTGCTGGACCGGAGCTGTGGGACGAGTCCAGCGCTCTGGTGCAGAGTAATTGTATGCTTCGAGGTCATTGACATGTGGTGGAGTTAGGAGGGAGTCGAGTGCTTCGAATTGACCGAGACAGATGTGGAAGTTTGCGTCGATGAAGATGTTGGATGGACGGATTGCGCCGTGGGAGTGACCTCGTGCATGAAGCCAGCAGACTGCAGATGCCAGACAGTGTGGCCAGGTGATCAAGATCTGGCGACGTTGTTCTTTTTCTAGTCGTTTGAAGGACACCGGCGCGTCTGTCAAGAAGCTCTGTAGGTTTCGATCTGCGGTTGCGCCGGTGAACAGCACCGAGACACTGTCATCTTTCAGATACGAGGCGTAGACGGAGACGATATGCTCGTGTGACAGTCTTTTTAGATTGCGGATCTCAGCGATAACCTCGTCCGCCGAGAAGAAATACGGTGCGCCGCCGACTTGCACTTGAGTCCGCATATAGACTCGACAGACCGAGCCGGCGAGGACAACCCTGTCGACCGTATCATCACGCCCGTGTATTCCACTAGTGTTTGTGCGCACCGCTTCGACAGGAACACCCTCATTCTCGGTATAGACGACATGTTCTCCCTCCGCTATCCCACGAACCAGGAAGCGCCACTGCGCATGAAAGAAACTCGTCTCGAGGGCGAGATCTTCTCCGTCGGGAGATAAGTGGAGTAAATCGACACTATGTTGAGCGACGGGTAGATCATCGTCGTCGCATGATTCATCTACTAGCGCGAAGATCCGATCGGGTATACCGATAGCATCGAGGATCATAAAGACACGGCCGGCTTTGGTGAGGATCCATTCCATGTAAGTCCCACTGGTCAATCCTTCGCCCCAATCTGGTAATTCGAAGAGACGTGGGATATTCTCTGGTCGCAGACGACTGAGGATATATTTTGTGTCGAGGGTTGATTTAATGCGCTCCTCAGGCCACCATAGGGAGCTGTGTTCGTGAGTCATTGCATTTGCAGAAACAACATTTGGGGAAAGGAGGAATATAATGTATATCGGTTCGGTGCGGCTGTCAATGTTGGTCTCCACCTAACGGTGGGGAGAATAATGGAAGCCTACTGGTGGATAACTTATCTCGACCGCAAGGAGTATCCAATATGGAGAATCAGATGGTTTTATTTTTGAGAATTGAACAAAGTACAAGAGCATACATAGTTTCTTAGTTGAAATTGGCATAAACTCATTGTTCTCAGCCAATCTAGGGCTAGAGGCTTATCTTTGGCGTAGAGATAACATGTCAACTGTCATATGCACCGTAGATCGATGTATTGGATTTATTGCAACGGCAAATGCGGTTGCAAGGAGCTTGAAAGTTCAATAATTGTATCCCCTTTAGGAAGATCCATAAAGACTGTATGTAGCATTATATACGAGATTTTAGGCTCGCGATTTTCCCGATCGGGGTGCTTTATGAGGGCGCTCAGGGTCTAAGTATTTCACAGCACAGGGTGGTCAGCCAGTGAGTTACTAGGTACTCAGGGCATGCTTAGTAATGTTCGTATATTTCTCAGTGAGCACTCAGATGGTGGAATGGGCGAATGTTAAAGGTAGAACAGAATTTGGATCAGGGCGGGTAGCAACAACAATAAGAAGCCTTGAAAATGGAACCAAAAACCGGATTGCAAAACATGTTTTTGGTACTGCAAAGTTATTAAAATCTAATCCGGGGCATTGGATATATACAAGGTTCCATAACTCAGTTGGTTAGAGTGTGGTGCTAATAACGCCAAAGTCGAGGGTTCGACCCCCTCTGGAACCACGTTTCTTTTTGTTTTTTTGAAGTCCCTAGTATTTTTACCCTTAAAGATCAACCAAATCATTTCCGGCTGGACTTCATGTCATATTGATGCAGTCGGGTAAGGTTTTCCCAGACTTTCCAGGGTTTGCATGGGTATATATGGCTTGATGGTACTTTGTGCCTTTGCCATCACGTACGGTGCCTGGGTTTCACCGTTGAATATTTCAAATATAACGAACTCAGAACATATGTCTTCTTGGGAATCCCAAACGTGATAATGAAGGCTGGGATATTTTCTGCGATATAGCCCATCATTGTGATTTGCTATCCTGTTTCTTAAGTTTTTTGCTTGGCCAAGAGGCAGTAATGCTGGGGATCATTTGGGGGCCAGAGAATATGCATGTAAATGCTAGCAGCAGTCGGTTTGATATCTCCACTAATTGTCCATAATCTAGCCAAGAGCTTATTAGAAACTACGGACAAATCCCGTGAATCTCAAGACATCCGCTTGCCCATCCATGGAGAACAGTTCCTCATCGCTAACCGGTCTCACACCAGGTGTGAGGTTATTCTCAAGCTTTGCGCATATGTCCACAGTTGGATGCCGCTCCAGGCCTTCTCCGCAACGTCTGGAATAGAGTTCATTGACTTTCAGGAGTAGATATTCGGAATAATTCTGGCGCTCGACCAGTATGAGGTCCAGGGGACGTGGAAGTTTCGCTTCTATCTGCACATCAAAGCCACCGGAATTTCGTTCCAAGACCATCTTTGTCTCTGTCACGCTGACTGTTTAGTTGTGAGTTGGCTTCGATGGCTGCTGAAACACCGCAGTCGCTCTCCATTCCTTCTGCTGTTCAAGACAATGGATTCTGTCTCAACCTAATGAATGGAGATGTTTTTTGTGCTCGGGAGGTGCATTTCCGGACACCACGCTTCGCTTACCGATGTAGCTCCTCGATATGAACCTTGCAATCTTCGTCTCTCTGCTCCTTGGCTGTTTTAACGAAAGGGCCTCGGTTCGAGTTGGAGGCCTGTCTCTCTCTCTGGCTTCTCTCTCTCCCTATATACAGATCTGTATCTGGAGCTTCACCTTGCTTGGTATGCTCAGTTTCCTCTTGAAAAGCTATTCTTGCTACTTATATTGGCATATTCAGTATTGCTGAGATTTCACTTTGTGATTTATCCAAAGTGAGTACTGTGGGATTTTCATCATTGATCAGACTACTAATCGCCGGTTCTTCTTGCGGGTCTCGATCCAGTCTATACTGACAAATCTCGTCACATACAGCATCTCGTACCACGTCCACCCTTCCAAAGCGGCCCTTCTTGTGTAGGAACCATACTTTATGTGGGTTTTTGGGTACGTATCTAACCAGATATTCGATCTCTACACGTGGGGACATCATGTCTGACTATACCCGCTTGATGACTCTCGAATACACTAAGCATTCATATAGTCTTAAATTTGATAGGTTGACAATCTGGTCTTTGACTCCGTTAGGAGCGGTATAACATATCACCTCCTTCCATGGTATGATCTACTAACCATTTACCTTAGTATGGGCCCGGTTTAGCACATATGCAACTGTATCTATAGCTTCTAGCCACAACTCGTTCAGAAGCTTAGTGTCAGATTTTAGTGCTCGACCAATACGGACGATCATCCCTCCCGATCTCTCTGTGGGACCATTCATCTCTAGCAAACTAGGTTGGGCGTGCTCTATAGTACAACCTTCATTTTCGATCATGAATTTGACCTCGTTGCTAGCACTTCACTCGTTGTCAGCACGGATCTTGACATTTAGTCAGTCTCCGATCAAAGTAAGGAATATCTTTACTACCATCTGGCACCCACTCTTCTTCACGTGAGTGAATACAGGGTGGCATCTAATACCATCTAGGTAGAAATGTGCCATCCAGATATGGCCGTTATACGCAGGCTGCATCTAAATAAGATCGAAGTTTACTCTACCGAATACACCATAGGCTTCCCCAATTCTTCTTCTTCAGATCTGCTTCGGAGCATCGACCAATTAACAAGCTTCGCATGTCTACTTCTTTTTGCTAAGGTTGCTTTCAGTAGTGATACCCTCGGACATCTCGCTTAAGTTGAAAATATGCTCGGTATCAATATGGCCTAAACGCTTATACCAAAGCTTAATCACAGCTTTTGAAGCTGGTTCCCTTGCTGACTTCTTTATGGCTGCAAATATCAGCTCCCCTTCTGTGGGTTTTAGGATATTAGGTGCAATTCCTATGCTAAGTTGCTATTCTATGTTGCTGGGCTCACTTGCTGAATAAAATTGCTAATATAAACATACATATATCCTAAGCTAACGCTATCATATTCTTCTTCGTGGCCGCAACTACTAATCTTATATTATTCTGAGATAGATTTACTATAATTGTACGTTTCTATAGTATCTAAAGCCTTAGTCTATTTGTTAAATATCCATTGATATGATTGTAGGAGTGAGCGACCATGAGTGTCACCTCATACTAATACAAAGATAAAATTTAATATTTCATCAGGGTGTGTAAGCATTTTACCCAAAGTAGGTATGTAATTTCGTGGCAAATTATGCAAACATAATACCCAACAATAGCACTGTAGTACCGGGCTCTATAGTACCATAATAAAGTACCAAAGATGGCGAAGTACTGCAGTACTTATTGCCTAGGCAGTGTTGATAATGTATATTCACTTGGGTGTTGGCTCTTTTAAAAGAGTGTGAACATTAGCACGACGACGAGGCCTAGGTATACTTGGAAGTATAGCAAAGCATAGATAAGTACAAACTTTCGGCGGCATCCCATGATCTGGTTCCATAACTCAGTTGGTTAGAGTGTGGTGCTAATAACGCCAAAGTCGAGGGTTCGACCCCCTCTGGAACCACGTTTCTTTTTTCTTTTTTATTTAGAATCTTCAATCATTAATCTATTCTTTTTCTAACACACAAGCGAGCTGGCCACCCTAAAACACATAGTAAATGTGGTAAATTACAATAAAGTACCACAACAACGAGAGATGGTGGGAACTTTTCCCTAAGGCTTAACGCTCTTTAGGTAGCATCCAATCACTTTAAAGGGTTTGAAGAATATCTAGAAGTTGGTCATTGAGATATATAATGTATACTTCTGAGTCCTACCAACGTAATTTTCGATACCGTGACAATTTATACTTTCGATCTCAATATGTAGTGTTAAAAAAGCCTTACCAACGGCTATCGACAAACGATGAAATAAAATAGAAACGTGGTTGTTGAGATACTAGTATAAAATATATTGCACTTGGTATGTGGTCTGGCGTGGACCACTCGCTTGTCTCGCATGTGACGTTACAGCATTGGTAGGATTAATAAATCCTTGATCTCCGACCTGAACACGAACACAAACACGAACATAGAAATGGGCACGAAAACGAGGATGGAGAATTTGTTGAGGCAGCTCACACCATCAAGACGCATGGCTTCTCTCGCGAGAACATGCAGCAATTATTCCAAGGTGGTGGACTCAACGCGGGTTTTGACTACCAAGTCTTGCCCGAGCCACTGAAGATAACCATTGGCGAGCGAACATTATGCAAGACAGTGTGTATTGCTCGGACTCAGCGTGCATAGGGGATGTTTATCCCAAGAGTTCACATAAAGCGAGGTCTTGGACTGTCATAATCCTCATGATGCTAAATCATCTCTAAGCCTGTGGTCGCGACCACAACCATTGGGATAGTAGTAGTTGGCGCAGCCTATGCCGTGGCGATACACCCTATTCTCATGAGAGGGTAGCACGGAGGCTATGGTTATTTCCTAGTGGTTTCTTCTCTACCCTTCCTTCCCCGGGAGCAATAATAATAACGACGCGATATGGAAACACAACGGACAGGAACTAGATATTAATACCATGCACCGGTTTTCTGGAATAAATCTGCGCGGAATATACCTCTATATACTTATATTAATGTACGAAAGCGTTCAAGTTCGCTCTAATACCTACTGTTTCCCTACATATGTACATTGATTTCTTTATATGCGGGTCTGGGGAGCTCAAACTCCACAAAACAGCCTCATCTTTTCTATATTTTTAGAACCCCATTGCTAGAGATATAGAGAAAAAAATTTAGGCAGAGCTTCACATTATTTGCGTATGGAGATCGTGGATCACTACCGGTTTCCGTCAATCTGTAGCTGTATCTAATGGCCTACTGTATTCATCTGCCGCGCTCCAAGTGGAGTTTCTTTTATCCAGGGGGGTTTTTTCAAAATAAGATCGGGATATTTTTGCGCCATTTGGTCTGGTAGTGGTGCAAATAATTGCCAACTGGTGAGTGACTATGTGGTGAGCGTTGGTATGAGCGTTGATGTGAGATGCGAGTGTTGGTCTGGCGCTTTGTTTATGGTTCGGAAAAACGGTAATATTTGGTTTCTTGGAATAGAGCAATGTATATTCTCTCTTTGTCGCTATACTTCGCCTATATCCCTGGTACATTCAAATGTCAACCCTGTTACGTAGGGGATTAACGACTCGGATATATAATCTTCCAATTCCCTCTTCTTTAGATCATACTAGAATCGATCATCCTCCTAGACTAGGAAAGGCATTAATTTATAGATGATAAAAAGAGCGCCGCGAGACTTGTAGAAAAAGTGTAAATGAATAAAGATTCATCGCAAAAAGAAAAAGAAGTTGGTTCCAGAGGGGGTCGAACCCTCGACTTTGGCGTTATTAGCACCACACTCTAACCAACTGAGTTATGGAACCCATCTATAACGCATTCAGTTCGCTAATTTCTTGAAGTAGGTAGCATCAGCCTGGCTGCAATCTACGTTGTGGAAACATGCCAATCATGCTTTGTTTTATGTAACGTATTTCACTAGCGAATGGGCCACACGGGCGACCCCAAAACACCATAGTAAATGCGATATATTACAATATGTTATCTCTACAACGGTGGTCTGTAGGGACTTTTGTTTATAGCATGGCGCTTTATAGGCGATATTTAGCATATTTAGGGAAAGTTCATGTCTTTATGACTGCGATATATATATTTCTAGATGTTAGGAACGTAATTTTCGGTAATTTTTGAAATGATAGTAAGATAGCATCCTACTCTCTTTGAAATTGATATATAGTGCTAACAAGTTTTATCAATAACTATCGACAAACGGTGAGATAGAATCAACATATGGTTGTTGAGATATAAATGTGGAATATATCGCATTTACTATGGTGTTTTGGGGTGACCCACTCGCCCGCGTGGCCCATTCGCTAGTGAAATACGTTATACGATAACTTCATTCATTTAATAAATAAATGAATGAAGACTGATATATGATATCATATCAAAAAAAAAAGAAAGTGGTTCCAGAGGGGGTCGAACCCTCGACTTTGGCGTTATTAGCACCACACTCTAACCAACTGAGTTATGGAACCTATCTATAATGTATTTGGTCAGTTAATAGAATCAAGAGAGTAGCCATAGCCTGACTGCTAATCTACGTTTGACGTACCGAGCTGCGCCACAAAACGCGTCTCTAAATTTGCACTTAATCAATTCAACCACCCACTATGCCACCAATTCGCCCTCAAAGCCCCCGAAATCCAACAGAGCAAGAGGGTAGGATCTTATTAGCTATCCAGGCTAGTAAAAATCAATAAATGAACCCTATTCATGAAGCAGAACGCCGATTTAACATACCCGAATCGACACTTCGGACACCTACGTGGCGTTCAATACCGCGCGATTTCTCGTGCTAATTCTCATAAACTGACATAAATTAAAGAGAAATCTCTTAACAAAGGATTCTCTCTATGGATTCTCGTGGATCAGCACCTCGGCCTTCTATAGTTTGAGAAATGGCGAATCGTCTTCTCGAAAAGCGCAAACCTACCCCGGTTCTTTCGGTCGGCGAGGATTAGGTTATAAACTTTGTGAAAAGAAACCCTCTCCTCTCATTCCGGTTCCCAAAGCGCTATAATTACAAGCACTCGAAATGCGAAGACCTAAAAGTTATCGGAGGGTGGTTCGATCTTATTTGAAAAATAATCCTTTAATTTAGAATCGACCGTTAATCGCTACGGCGAAGGTGATCTCGAGGAATGAAATCTACGGTCGACGCTCGGTTTTATAACCTAGAAACCGGGAATAAGTGACTATTATTAAGTGTACGAATGCTTTGGCCCTCCGTGTATGATTTTTACAGGTAAAGTCTTTATTAAATCTTGGTTCGACGGCTAGACTTCCGCACGACCCAGTCTGGGTCTGGGTCGAAATCTAATAACCCAGGCCCAACCAGTGACTGGGGCCCCAGAAAACCCAGTTTTGGCATAAATTATGGCATACATTTTTAAATAACATACTGTCATTTTCCTCTGTTATGGTTCCTACATCGAAATACTGCACTCT